TGAAGTTTAATGAAACAATAAAGGTTAAATAAATAATAAAGATTTTTATTTTATATCAGTATTGAGAAGAAGTAACAGCTGACACTTGGTAGACAACTTCTTTATGTCTAGAAAATTCTATCTTGCCTTTTATTTTTTTCTCGCTGTGAAACGTATTCGGTCTTTTTTTTAAAAATTAATTTTTTGTTAGAGATAAGAGCTAAAACTCGGTAAACAACTTCTTTATGTCTAGAAAATTCTATCTTGCCTTTTATTTTTTTCTCGCTGTGAAACGTATTCGGTCTTTTTTTTAAAAATTAATTTTTTGTTAGAGATAAGAGCTAAAACTCGGTAGACAACTTCTTTATGTCTAGAAAATTCTATCTTGCCTTTTATTTTTTTCTCGCTGTGAAACGTATTCGGTCTTTTTTTTAAAAATTAATTTTTTGTTAGAGATAAGAGCTAAAACTCGGTAAACAACTTCTTTATGTCTAGAAAATTCTATCTTGCCTTTTATTTTTTTCTCGCTGTGAAACGTATTCGGTCTTTTTTTTAAAAATTAATTTTTTGTTAGAGATAAGAGCTAAAACTCGGTAAACAACTTCTTTATGTCTAGAAAATTCTATCTTGCCTTTTATTTTTTTCTCGCTGTGAAACGTATTCGGTCTTTTTTTTAAAAATTAATTTTTTGTTAGAGATAAGAGCTAAAACTCGGTAAACAACTTCTTTATGTCTAGAAAATTCTATCTTGCCTTTTATTTTTTTCTCGCTGTGAAACGTATTCGGTCTTTTTTTAAAAAATTAATTTTTTGTTAGAGATAAGAGCTAAAACTCGGTAAACAACTTCTGTATGTCTAGAAAATTCTATCTTGCCTTTTATTTTCTTCTCGCTGTGAAACGTATTCGGTCTTTTTTTTAAAAATTAATTTTTTGTTAGAGATAAGAGCTAAAACTCGGTAAACAACTTCTTTATGTCTAGAAAATTCTATCTTGCCTTTTATTTTTTTCTCGCTGTGAAACGTATTCGGTCTTTTTTTTAAAAATTAATTTTTTGTTAGAGATAAGAGCTAAAACTCGGTAGAAACTTCTTTATGTCTAGAAAATTCTATCTTGCCTTTTATTTTCTTCTCGCTGTGAAACGTATTCGGTCTTTTTTTAAAAATTAATTTTTTGTTAGAGATAAGAGCTAAAACTCGGTAAACAACTTCTTTATGTCTAGAAAATTCTATCTTGCCTTTTATTTTTTTCTCGCTGTGAAACGTATTCGGTCTTTTTTTAAAAAATTAATTTTTTGTTAGAGATAAGAGCTAAAACTCGGTAAACAACTTCTGTATGTCTAGAAAATTCTATCTTGCCTTTTATTTTTTTCTCGCTGTGAAACGTATTCGGTCTTTTTTTAAAAAATTAATTTTTTGTTAGAGATAAGAGCTAAAACTCGGTAAACAACTTCTGTATGTCTAGAAAATTCTATCTTGCCTTTTATTTTCTTCTCGCTGTGAAACGTATTCGGTCTTTTTTTTAAAAATTAATTTTTTGTTAGAGATAAGAGCTAAAACTCGGTAAACAACTTCTTTATGTCTAGAAAATTCTATCTTGCCTTTTATTTTTTTCTCGCTGTGAAACGTATTCGGTCTTTTTTTTAAAAATTAATTTTTTGTTAGAGATAAGAGCTAAAACTCGGTAGACAACTTCTTTATGTCTAGAAAATTCTATCTTGCCTTTTATTTTCTTCTCGCTGTGAAACGTATTCGGTCTTTTTTTTAAAAATTAATTTTTTGTTAGAGATAAGAGCTAAAACTCGGTAAACAACTTCTTTATGTCTAGAAAATTCTATCTTGCCTTTTATTTTTTTCTCGCTGTGAAACGTATTCGGTCTTTTTTTAAAAAATTAATTTTTTGTTAGAGATAAGAGCTAAAACTCGGTAAACAACTTCTTTATGTCTAGAAAATTCTATCTTGCCTTTTATTTTTTTCTCGCTGTGAAACGTATTCGGTCTTTTTTTTAAAAATTAATTTTTTGTTAGAGATAAGAGCTAAAACTCGGTAAACAACTTCTTTATGTCTAGAAAATTCTATCTTGCCTTTTATTTTTTTCTCGCTGTGAAACGTATTCGGTCTTTTTTTAAAAATTAATTTTTTGTTAGAGATAAGAGCTAAAACTCGGTAGACAACTTCTTTATGTCTAGAAAATTCTATCTTGCCTTTTATTTTTTTCTCGCTGTGAAACGTATTCGGTCTTTTTTTTAAAAATTAATTTTTTGTTAGAGATAAGAGCTAAAACTCGGTAAACAACTTCTTTATGTCTAGAAAATTCTATCTTGCCTTTTATTTTTTTCTCGCTGTGAAACGTATTCGGTCTTTTTTTTAAAAATTAATTTTTTGTTAGAGATAAGAGCTAAAACTCGGTAAACAACTTCTTTATGTCTAGAAAATTCTATCTTGCCTTTTATTTTTTTCTCGCTGTGAAACGTATTCGGTCTTTTTTTTAAAAATTAATTTTTTTGTTAGAGATAAGAGCTAAAACTCGGTAAACAACTTCTTTATGTCTAGAAAATTCTATCTTGCCTTTTATTTTTTTCTCGCTGTGAAACGTATTCGGTCTTTTTTTAAAAATTAATTTTTTGTTAGAGATAAGAGCTAAAACTCGTAAACAACTTCTTTATGTCTAGAAAATTCTATCTTGCCTTTTATTTTCTTCTCGCTGTGAAACGTATTCGGTCTTTTTTTTAAAAATTAATTTTTTGTTAGAGATAAGAGCTAAAACTCGGTAAACAACTTCTTTATGTCTAGAAAATTCTATCTTGCCTTTTATTTTTTTCTCGCTGTGAAACGTATTCGGTCTTTTTTTTAAAAATTAATTTTTTGTTAGAGATAAGAGCTAAAACTCGGTAAACAACTTCTTTATGTCTAGAAAATTCTATCTTGCCTTTTATTTTTTTCTCGCTGTGAAACGTATTCGGTCTTTTTTTTAAAAATTAATTTTTTGTTAGAGATAAGAGCTAAAACTCGGTAAACAACTTCTTTATGTCTAGAAAATTCAATCTTGCCTTTTATTTTTTTCTCGCTGTGAAACGTATTCGGTCTTTTTTTTAAAAATTAATTTTTTGTTAGAGATAAGAGCTAAAACTCGGTAAACAACTCCCCCATGTCTAGCAAATTTAACATTCGTCTCCCATTTTTATATATTTGGTTTAGAATGTTCGAAAATGCGTAATATGGTCATTAATATTAATTGAAACGAACCTTGAATTAATTCAATCTGATCTCACAAAATATTTTAAATTACAAACTTTGTAGTTTGAATAGATAATTAGTATTAAACTCAACTAACTAGTTTATTTTTGAATAAAAATTATTTGAATGTATTCAATTTTGTGAATTTTCCTTCAAAAATCAAGTTTAAATATCTTATTTGCCATATAATTATAAATACAATGAAACATATTCGAAATTGAAAAGAATGACTTTTTCTGTTCTTTCAATCATTCAATTTGAATTTTGCAATATTGGATTTCCCATTCAATAGCTATTAAAAACAACAAGCAATTTAAATTACATTCAAATTTATTTGTGTTATATTCAATCTTCTCAAAACTTATAATTTTCGGCTATAGCATGATTATATGCTATATAATATAATAAACCTACAAGAGTATCATTCTTTCAATTATTTGAAGAGAAAACCGAAAAAATCTATTTTCGGTCTATAACAAATGTTTCTTCATATGAAGGAAAAAATTTTCTTGAGAAGAAATAGAGTTTTTAAAATTTTATTGTATGTTATGAAATAGACAAATATTAAAATTATTTTTTGATAACACGAAAATTCTCAACAGAAAATATTTGAGACAAAGAAAAAAAGAAAATTGAAAAATATTACTCTTCTTTATATTTCACGAGATTTTAAATTTATTCTCATAAAATTGACAATTTTATACGTTTAGATGAAAATAAGTGATTTTGCTTGAAATAAAAGTTATTGTTTGCTTACACCTATCAAATAGATTTTTGCTATTTTGATTAAAATTTGTTAATCAAATTAATAAATTTTTTCTAAATATCTTAAATATCTGGATCACTCACATATACAATGAATTGAACGATAAAAATAATACAAACTCAAATAAGTTTCCTGTTTTTCAACTAAAAAAAATTATGCAAATTAAATTAAATTGTTTATTCAAATATAAAACAAAGATGAAGTAATTACAGTTATCATAAACTTTATGAATAACTCTGTAATTGGTTCAGATTTTCGTAAAAATATTTTTATTACTATCGATAAGAATACGTTTACCTACTATCACAACATATCGATAAACAAGAGTAGAGTGATTTTTATCATCGAAACTTTTTAAAAGCTGTAAGCTGGAAGTAAAAATCTTGTTTTTTCTGAGTTAGTTGTAGAACTATTGATGTACGAGTTATCATTGTGATGTAGAAGGATGTCAATGTACTGACTGAAGGATATGAAGTGAATTGAATTTCATTGAATTTCAATTTGATCAAAATTTGTTGAAATGATATGAATGTGTCAACATCTGTATCACTCTCTTTCACTCCTTCCCTATTCTTTCGAGAACGAAGCTAGCTCAGCTTTCGCTGAGCGAATTGATACTTTTGATGTCCTAAACGTACATATTCTCAAATTTATCGAAAAAATTATACCACCCAAACTAGTATATTCTTATTTTAAATATGATATTATCCTTAGAAATCACACTAGAATATATTTAAATCAACTTTTAAAAAGTTCGAATCCTGCGCGTCTCATTTTTTAAATTTTCCAAAAGGAAAATTATATTCTCCGAAAATGAAAACAATTTTCCGAATTGACATCCTTATTAAAAATATTCATCATTTGCCTAATCAATTACATCACTTGAAATTCAACAAAAAAATTTTTTTTGATGTCAATTTTATTAAAAATTATATTTTATTCTATTCATGTAAGGCATTATATTTTACCAAACTAAATTCAAATTTAACATTATCAATTGAAATAAAATTTTTTTTGGGGAATGTACGAGAAAATTGATGAATTTGTAGGATATGTGCTATCTAATGATTACAAATCATTAAAGAAAAAGGAAAAAAGTATCTCAATTGATGCTACTTATTATATTCAACTTCCTACATATTCTCAAAATAGAGAACCAGGTACAAGCCTACTTCATTTAGCAGCATTTGCAAATTCACTCGAATGCGTTATCATGTTGCTAAAAAGAGGCTTTGATATCTTTAAAACAGACACACTTGGAAGAACACCTTTAAATTTGGCTGCTTTAGGTGCGTCTGTCGAAGTTATGTCATTCATACTTAGAATTTATGCTAAAGAAAATAAATTAGAAGAACTATTTCGTCAATGCTACAAATTAGATAATATGGAAACAAATTTAATTATTTCTGCATCGAATGGAGGTTGTGTAGATATCTTTAGACTATTTGAAATATACGGATTCAAATTATATAGCTTTTCAAAGCAGAGTAAAACTATTTGCGACATTTGTATCGAGAGATTAGCGAAAAATTCACATATAGAAGCTTTAAAGTATGTACTAGATAGAATAGCAGATGATGGCATATCTTCCAACGACAAAACTCCTATAATGACTGCGATTATCAATCGAAACTTCGAAGCAGCCAAAGTCTTGATACCGCATTCAGATCTAAACAAAGTTACGAAAGACAACAAGACTGTTTTATCCTATGCTTGCTTTATTGGCAATGCAGAAATGGCAAAAAATTTAATTCCTAAAATTGATTTCATCGATATACCAAAAGACGTCAAAAGCAAGGGAGCTGCTCATTGGATATGCCAACTCAAAGATGTAGGAGTTGCAAGAATGGTTTTGGAAAGAGGAATCGATGTAAATCGTCGTGATGAGAATAATAACCCTTGCGTATCAGACCTTATAATACGAAACTCACAAGCAGATGAAGAATCTGCTTTTGAGATCTTGAAAATGCTGATTCAATATGGATTTGATATTCACGCCACAGTTCCAGAGAAACCATCAATACTTGAAATCTTTGTACTCAATCTGTCACCTCAGCCTCAAATTATTGATTATTTGTTGTCTCTCGGAGCTGATGCAAATAAAGTTTGCGAAACTTACGGAATGGCAGTGAAAAAGATAGAAACTATTAAAGAAAAATTGAAAGGCAAATGTAGAAACCCTCAAATTGCCAAAATTTATCAAAAATATTTTGGTCAAAAATGAAATTTTTGTTGATTATATATGAATTTTATTAGAAATTGTATTTATATATATATTATTTAAATAAAAAACTTCTTTCTATTAAATTCGAAATTAATTTTTTACTTTTGAGGTAACAATCAGTGAACACAATGCTGTAACTATGGAATTGATTTTGTAACTTTATAGGCAGAACTTTGTGTGCATAATTTATATGGAAGAATTATATTCTACTCATATCATAGGGTATCTCCTCTTTTTGCTTTTGCACACAACATTTGTTGTATTCATACCTTAAAAGATTTGAGAATTGGTCAAATGTAATTCATTTTTAACAAATATTTCACAAACTTTTTCTCAGTGAAGATAGAAAGATTTCATTTGTAGCATACATAGGAAATATATGTGTTTATTTCATTCTTAATATGAATTTCTGTATGATTACCTCAAATTATTCTTTAAATATAAACTTTGTTTTGAATAAATAACTATATATCATGATAAGCATTACTTTATTCTATGTACAAACAAAATTAATCCTCATCGAGGTTTAAAACGATTTCAGTGTCATCAAAATAGTCATTATAGAATTGTGACATTCTTTCACCAACTTTCTTGTCTTCAATTAGTCTTTCAATGACTTCAGAGCCTCCCAAATCTTGAAACAATGAAATATACTCTTCATTAGCTTCAAAAATAGAAGTAAGGTTGATAACAATGAATTCGAGAGATTCTGTGTCGTTTAGATCAGAGTCAATGAAATCAATAATACTTTCCATTGAATCTTCATTGATAATATCTAATTTATAGTTTGAAGCAACAATTAAAAAGAGAAACATTGCAGCCTTCTTCTTGTGAAACTCTGAATCATTAAAAAGATTGCAAATTGTTGCTATTACTGACTCATCAAACAAATCATCAATAAATTGTGGATAATTTGTTGCAGCCAAGAAATTTACAATTGCGTTTGAAGCCTTTTCAAATAATTTCTTGTCACTTTCATTAGAAATGATAAAAGATAAAAGATACCTCATTATATTAGTAAAATACTCTTGTTCTGGAATGATTTCCATTCTATAGAATATTCTATCCAGAACAGATACTAAATCTATGTGAAATTCCTTAGGAAAAGATAATAATTTGTCTAAATCAAAGAAAATTTCTTTGAATGATGGATTAAATAAAATATATTTGCATTCAATAGCTTCTTTAAATATAATATGTTGTAATGCAAATAATGATTCTTGTTGATAAATGTATTCTATGAAGAAATCACAAATTGGAGATTGGTCATATGAATTAACAGGAATTCCATGTTGCTGGTAATAGTGGAATAAGTCCTCGTTGAAAGGCTTGTTCTCTAAAATCAAAAAATCTGAAGCTTCTTCATCAGAAAATTTATTTTTAAAATTCAACTCCAAAAGAGGTTTAATGGATGAATTCGTGAGTATGGTTGCAATTATTCTTGCATAAATTCCTTTGTTATCATCGGGTATTTGTTTGAAATTCGAAATAATTTCGAAAATAATATTTGATGAAAAAATTACAGCCATAAATACCTCAGAAGAGTATTTGCAGTACTCGTGTATTAGTTGTAGAATGTATAATGGGCTGTTAAATAGTTCACCTGACTGGATTATAAATGGAATTAAACCAATTTTAAGTGTTTCGAGGGCATTTTCTTTATTGATTGATATATATTTGATGAAAAATGTATAGTAAAGTTCTTTATCGCATGAGCATGCCATTATTGCTTCTAAGATCGAATTCTGAGCGAAAATTAAAGTATCAAAATCTGAAAATTTGTATAAAATGCAATTGTGTAATTGTACCACGTTGTTTATGACTTGGGTGTTATTACCTTTAAGACTTTCTAAATAAGCTTGTGCATTTTGATGATAATTGTTAATTTCTTCTTGAATTTTTTCATCAATTTCAACTTCGGACTCCTCTGTATGATTCAAATTGACTACAGATTGATTTTTAGTTCTTAACTCGAAATTCTTGTATAAATCCATGAAAAAGATCTGATAAAACTTTTTTTTTATTTTGGCAATTTTTTCATTCAAATTAAATTATAAAGATTTTTTATTTTAAAATGATCTGAACGATATCTGTTGATCGAAATAAAATTTTTGTCAGATTTTGAATTTTTTTATTTATGAGGAGAGGGTTGCCACCTCAGAGGCAATCAATCAAAAAATTGCCATCAACAAAGACCCTCCCCAGTGTTAAGAAATCACTTGCGTCAACAAGTTCAATTCCTAAGTCAAAATATCCTATTTCTCCACCAAAAACACCAGGAGATTCGTCTGTTCGAGTTTCGAAGATTAAATCTACGTCAAAGATCGCTCCTCCAAAGCCTGACATAATAATTGTTAATGCAATCAACAGCATTTTTAAAAACGAACAAACAAAAACTTCGTTTGTTCACGTATTTTCTGCAACACAGCAAGTTGATGATAATAATACAATTTCAAAGCTCTTTGCGCACTTTCGCGAACAAATTCTTGATAAACTTGATTTTCTTAAAATTGTAACTGTTGAAGACTTAATTGATCATTATGATTTATTCAACAGCCAGATTTCGAAAATACAAAGCTTTATGAAATTCCTCGGACGTAAAAACATTCTTGATTCTCGAAATAATTTACCAATTTGGAAATTCAATGAAGAATTAGCAAAACATGAAAACAAATGCTTTACAATTGCTAGAGAACTATGGCTAGATCATGTTCATAAGCGAGTACTCAATGATTTATCAAAAGAAATCAAAATAATTTTTCAAAATCTTGTCAAAAATAATAACTCCCAATCTGAATCAATTGTTCAGAGACTATATGCTATATTCAAGGATTTGGGCCTTGATTACATCCAATCTGTTTCAGATTTGTTTAATATGACTTATAATATTGAACACAAGGATAAATCACCAAGTGAGAAGTTACAATTTTTGATGTATGATCTAAACAGACTTTCCCAAGTATTTCCAATGGAAAAACTTCAAGAATTAATTTTTTTAAATCATATCGACGATTTTCTTGTTCCTTTGCTTAAGAATAGAGATGACGTACTTCTTCCTATGCTTCCTGAATTCATTACGCCAAATTTAGCTTCAGAATACTCAAAAAAAGTTGTAGAATACATGGAATCTGTTTCTCTTCCAGTTGATTTCTTTTCTCTTGCGGAGTTCCTTAGATACTTTTCATCTATCATTCCAAATAGCTTACCTGTTAGAAAATATGTTGGAAATTATTTGAATAGAACTACTACGAATTTTCCTTCCTCTCTTGCATTTGTTTTCTTTGCTCATATAGAATTAACAGATAATCTGAAACCGTTAGCTAATTTAATTCCTCTTTACACAAATCAAGACGATATATCAGATGAAATTAACAAATATCTTATGAAAAGATTACTTCAACACCGTAGCTCTGATATAACTCTTGAACGGAAGTTAATAGAAACATTGAAATCAGTTGTTGGAAGAGATTTAGTTCGAACAGCCTCATTAATCCTAAATAATTATAAGATTACAGATAATATGATGATTGTATGTAAACCTTTATGGATTCGTGTCATTCCTGATGATAGTATCAAACTCCCAAAGGAAATGGAACAATCATTGAACGTTTTGACACAAAAATACAAGTCATACTATCAAAAAGTTCAATTATCTGGTATCTACTCTACAGTAAATGTGAATTGCAAGTATGAAAAAGAAGAAAAAACCGTAATTATGTCAATTCTTCAGTATAACATTATTAAACTCCTTGAATCTGGTATTACAATGGTCCAAGATATGGGAACAACAACTGAGATCGTTAAAAAGCATATGAAACCGCTAATTAAAGCTAAATTTATTTGTAAAGTTCCTGGCGGCTTTTCAATCAGCAAAACTCCGATCTCAGGCAAGAAAATCAATGTTTACGAGTACACAATTAAGAGTAAAAAGTCTCAAGTCAAAAAGAAAGAAAAGAAAACAGAAGAAAAACCACCAGAGGACCACTTAAACGGTGTTAGAGCAGCAGCCATCAAAATCATGAAGAATGAAAACAAGCTTTCGCGTGATTCATTGAAGAAATCAATTTTGCAAATCACTTCAAAGTTATTCGAAACTTACGATGATGAAATGAATAGAGCTATCAAATCCTTGATCTTTGATCAATATTTATCTGTTGATAAAAATGATGAAAACATTCTCCACTACGTTCCATGAAAATTATCTTTTATTTTGTTTATTTGTTTGTAAAATTATTCATGTTATTTATGCTTACATTGCTCAAAGATAAGTAATTTTTAATTCTGGGATCATTCTTATTTCCCCAATTTTATATTTTATCTTTTTGATAGGCATTGCCCATTGAAAATTTAATGCACTGTCATATTATGAGTAAATATTGTTTAACTACTACTTGCAACATCATATTTTAACATAAATATGTTTTATCCTTAAGATTTAGTTATATTAAATAGTCACTGCATTATTGTATAAGGTAAATATAGTTTTATAATACAATTACAAAAAAAAATAGAAATTATTCAGACATTTCTAATTCGTAATCTCCAGTTCTAGGTCTTCTTACGAAACGAATGACTAGAATTACTACGACAACAATAACAGCAACAGCAACAATAGCTCCAACGGCTATACCAGCGACTGCTCCTGTAGAAAGAGAACCTTTTTCACTTGAACCATTTCCTTGGTTATTATCACCAGAGCCATCCCCTGTATTTCCACCGGTGTTGCCACCTGTATTTCCACCACTTTTATCTGTTCCAGATTTACCACCAGTTGTTGTGTCTACTTCACCTTCTGGCCCTGGATCGTAATCTGGATAATCTTTTAACTGATCTGGTTGGAATACTTGGTAATCATCACTGAGTAGTTTTGGAATTGGGTGGATATCTTGGTAGCAATCTGGGTCAAGGCACTGGCTTCTGAAAGCTCCTGAAGAATAACGTCCTTTAAGAACGTAAATTTCATCTTGAGTGAGTCCTCCTGTACTCTTGAAGCAAACTTTGTTACCTTGAAAAGCTCTATCTTCAATTGTAGGGAGTGGCTTTGGAAGATCTACTTTGCCAAGATTTGGACAATTTTGGAAAGCTCCCTCTCCAATTAATTTTGTTGTTGGAGGGAATTTGAGTTCAATAGCAGCAATTTGTGGAAATGAGTAACTTCCAACGGAAATAAGGTTGCTTGGGAGTTCCAAATGGTAGCATCTGATATTTCCTGCGGCCATGTTATAAGGGGTTTCAAGAATGTTATCTGAAATCTTCAAATACTCTAAGTAAAGATTCTGTGAAAGGATATCTCTGCTGACAGATTCGACTGAATTTGGCATGACAAATTTTCTAAGTCTGCAACCGTATAAGCACTGAGCATCCATGAAATACAGATTGTTGTGGACATGAATCTTCTGTAAACACTTGCAATCTGAGAAAATAGCTGCAGGTAACGTATCAAATTTTGTTGGAATTGTAACTTCAAGTAGATTATTGCATTCTGAGAACATCCATTGTGAGAGGGTCTTAAGACTCGATGGTATTGGGAAGTCTTTAAGATTTGTGCATTTCATGAATGAAGAATTACCAATATATTCAACGCTATCAGGTATAGTGATGTGTTCTAAAGCTGATCAGCCGAAAAATGCGTTACTTTGGATTATCTTTAAGCTTGATGGAAGATTAACTGTTTTCAAGTTAACGCATTGATAGAAAGCTCTAAAACCTATTCTGGTTAACTGTGAAGCTGGTGTGCAATCAATTGATTCTATTGTTGATGTATAAAATGCTTCTTCATCAATCAAGGTACATGATGATTGAACAACAATATTTGGGCATGAGCCTGGCTTTATGAGGACATTTCCTGAATATACTGCATCGCATGTATGCAAATCAGCTTGCAGTTGTATTGAGAGTGTAAGAAATAGGGAAAGCAAAAACATTTTTTGAAAAAAAAATTACGAACAAGTTTTGAAAAGATAAACAAATTATAAATTTGTTTCTTTAACGAATAATAATGTACACAAGCAAAATAAATTCAAATTAATTGAAAAGTGTTTTTGAACATCCTTTTTCAATTCAAAATTTAAATTAAGATTATTGCATAATTTTCATGTAATGGATGTGAAAATGTGATTCAATGTTTTTTATTTGGATAACCAACGATCACTCTCAATACAAAAAAAATCAAGAAAAATATACTGTTTAGAATAAGCATCTCATATGATATAAATTTTACTAAAACCGCCGAAATTTCAATTAGAGTATGCAAAAAATTCAAAATTTGATAAATGCTTGCATTACTTATAAGCTTAACTCTAAGTGCAAATATTTGGACATATACTAGAACTTCCTATGAAGGTCAGAAATGCTATCAACTAAATATTGCAGAATTTGAGAAAGTTTTATTGTCAACACAAGATACTGGAGCCGAATTTAGAATCCAGCTTATTGATTATAATCAAGAACTCTCATACTATAAACTCAAGCCAATCAAAATGTTTGCCAAAGAAGTAAGAGACAAATATCCAAATGAACATTACGCATTCACAGGTTACAAAGAAGGAAAACCATCTGAAATTATTGGTTTGGTTTGGTGCTTTAAAGTGCTCAAGCAATTCTGGATGATTTTGCCAGCTACAATAGAAATCAAAAAAACTATAACTGAATATGTTTTATTCAACCCCGATTACCTTGCCACACGTAAGCTGAATGAAATTGATAATTTCAATTCTACAATCAATCATATCCTCAACCAAGTTGATGAAGTCACAGCAGAATTCAAACATCATCTCCATGATGCTGATTCAGAAGGTGAATCCATAGAGCAAGAATGGACCATATTAAAATTATTCGATTTGTACCTTTCCCAACCGTAGAATATAATAGAGTACAACAAACATTACGTGGAAGTATGTTGGATTTCAGCCCGGATGATCAGAAGAAGGTTATTTTCAGCCAATTAGCAGCATCAGTGTTATTTGCAAACATGATTCTTTTACCACAATGTTCTGTTCGTCTTGAGATGCTTTTCTATACAGATCTCATATTCTTCCAAGTCTCAGATAAAAGCAAGTACTTGAAAAATACAAATTACGATTTCTCTGCAGAAGGAGATCTCCAGTACGAAGGCTTGAAAGAACTCGTTCTTAAGTACTTCAGAGATGACAGAGTTGATTTGGCCCACTTTATCCATTGCAAAATGAATCAAGGTCTTTCAGTTGTCAGAGGTGTCACTCGCAGTGATAGCAAATGGCAAGGATTTACATCTGATGCAACATTCGGTTACCATGGTCGCTTTGAGCTTGCCTTTGTTCACGAAATCGGACATCAAATTGGCGCTCACCATCCATTCACATTTAAACCAAATGGTGGATTCTATGCTACAGAAGTAGGATCCGGTGTATCAATCATGGCTTATCCAGGAAGATCAAATGGAGATGATGTACAACCAACTAATTATCCTTATTACAACATTCAAAATCTTGATGAAATTACAAGATTCCTTGCAACAGCTTATCATGTTAACACAGAACCGAAAGAAGATCAGCCACCTGTTATTGATGATATGAAGAGACTTTATTACATTCCAAAATCAACTGCTTTCCTTCTTCAAGGATCTGCACATGATAATGATGATCCTGTTTTATATTATCACTGGGAAACAATTGATGAATATGCTGGAGTTGTTACTAGAAAAACATTTGGATCAACTAGAACCAAAGGTCCAATCATGAGAGATTATGATGTAACAACAGACAACTTCAGATATATTCCTAAATTAGAAAGAATTCTTGCTGGTAAGATACTTGAAGAAGCTCCACCAACAGATTGGGAAACAGTTCCATCAGTTGCAAGAACATTAAACTTTGCATTTGTTGTCAGAGACAAACAATATTACTCCGGTGAACCAGGATATGTCACATTTGATACAGTCACATTACAAGTTACAGATGATGGTCCATTCAAAATCACCTCATTGAGCAGTGCATCATCATTTAGAAGAGGTAGTAAAACAACAATCCAATGGGATGTTGCAGGAACAAATGCAGGAAGCATCAATGCACAAAAGGTAACAATTAAGTTCTCACCAGATAGAGGTCAAACATGGCAAGATTTACATAGTAATGTTGACAACACAGGAAGTTACGAAATCACATTTCCGAATGTTGCAACAACACAAGGAAGAATCATGATCAAACCAGATGATAATGTTTTCTTAACAATTAATACTGCTGATATAACCCTTACATAAAATAAAATTTGTTCTCCCTTTTTTGATTGATATATTTTTCATAATAACTTTAGTTTCATTTTATGAATTGAGTGGGAAACCATATAATCAGGAATAATATCAACTTGTTTTAGGACTACAGGATATATTTTAAACATTCAATAAAAAAACCTAAAAGATTGAAATATGTTTCTTGTGAAATAATATTAATATAAGATTTGTTTGTGATCTTCAATCATAAATGAGAAATTTAATCATATTGGCAGCTAACGGAAGATAGTTATCATGATATATAAAATATTTTAAAAAAAAATCCGAATTTTTTATATTTTACAGTAAATTAAATAAGATTTAATAAAATATATCATGTTCATAGTTTTAATTTCTTTGTTTTTCAATATCTTTATCGTAAAATCCGTATTTTATTTATTTTTTGATCAAAAAAAAAACTATTTCTCGAATTTATTGCTCAAAATATACTTTTGATTCATATTTTCTTTGAATCCTAAAAAATTTGGAATTTCAGCCAATGATAAAAACCATTTAAACCCATCAGATGACAGAATTCTATGAACAAACTTAGTAATTTCAGCTTGATACACATAGAAGCTTTATGGATGTTAGATATCAATTGATTGTTATGACAGATATATTAAAAACAAGAAGACTTTCCTAATGAAATATGACATCGAGCAATGTTTACAAGATCAGTGGTATAATATTAAAGCTAATTTAAAGAGAGTTTACATGTATTTCTCATGTAGAAACTGTAAAAGTAAATAAAGATAAGTTTTATTTGAGAAAGAATAAAAAAAAGTTTTAAAATTTAGAAAGTAAGTTCGAAAAAAGAGATATTCAAATTAGATTTAGTCTGAGAAAGTACGGAATTTGTCTTCAATCTGTTGATAGAGCTTGCGGAGGTTTTCTATGCATTGTTCCTTGCCATCGGCGGGATCTGTGAACTTCATTCTGATAAGGCCTTGGATTTCGGCGGACATGTGGTTGGCGATAGCTTCATATGTAACACGCTTCTCGCCGGACTCGGTAAGGATGTGGCGGGCAAGGTCGTTGAAGTGCATCATGTTCTTCAACATCCAGAATGTCTTCCACATTGGAGAAACTCTGTCGTATGGTGTGTATGAGTTCTGCTGCAAGAAATCATCACGAACCATACGGGCAACTTCAAGTGTCAATTTATCTGGCTCGGCAAGTGAGTCCTTACCGACCAACTGGACAATTTCGGAAAGTTCTTGTTCTTCTTGAAGAATCTGACGAACTTCGGTACGGAGGTTAGGGAAGTCGGGATCGAACTGGACAAAGTATGGACGAAGAATGTCATCGTACTTAGAGTATGAAAGTGTCCATGAAACGGATGGGAAGTGCTTACGCTGTGCAAGCTTCTTATCAAGACCCCAGAAAACTTGGACGACTTGAAGGGTAGCTGATGTAACTGGATCACCTGCAAGATCACCACCTGGTGGAGAAACAGCACCGACAATGGAGACAGAGCCGGATCTGTGTGGGTTGCCGTAGCAGGAAACACGACCTGCACGTTCGTAGAAGGAAGCAAGACGTGTACCAAGATAAGCTGGATAACCGGAATCAGCAGGCATCTGTGCAAGACGACCGGAAATTTCACGAAGAGCTTCAGCCCAACGTGAGGTGGAGTCTGCAAGCATGGTGACGTTGTAGCCCATATCTCTGTAGTATTCGGCAAGTGTAATACCGGTGTAGATGGAAGCTTCACGAGCTGCGACGGGCATGTTTGATGTGTTAGCGACAAGTGTGGTACGATCCATAATTGGGTGTTCGACACCTTGGATTTCGACTTTAAGTTCTGGGAACTCCATAAGAACTTCTGCCATCTCGTTACCACGTTCGCCACAACCGACATAAATAATGGCGTCGGAGTTGGAGTACTTGGAAAGTGCTTGTGAAATAACGGTCTTGCCACAGCCGAAAGCACCTGGAATAGCGCAGGTACCACCTTGGACAACTGGGAACAAGCAGTCAAGAACACGCTGACCAGTGATAAGTGGGAAGTCAGCAACAAGCTTCTCGGCGTATGGACGTGGAGTACGAACTGGCCACTCTTGAAGTATTGGATACTCTGTAACTTTGCCGTCGAATTCAACACCAATGACTGGGTGAAGAACATCATATGAGCCGGCTTCGGCAATGTATTTGACTTTACCGCATGCCTTCGGTGGAAGCATGATGCGGTGTTCAATCATGGATGTCTCGTTGACATAACCAATGATGTCGCCACCTGTAACATTGTCGCCTTCTTTAAAATTTGCTGGCTTGAATGACCACTCCTTCTTGAGATCAATTGGATCGCAAGAAACACCACGTGGAATGAAAACTGAGTGTGATTGATCGGAAATATCTTTAAGTGGACGTTGAATACCATCGTAAATGTTTGTCATAAGACCTGGTGCAAGAAGAACGGAAAGTGGCTTGCCTGTGCCAATGACACTGTCACCAACTGTAAGACCGGATGTTTCTTCGTAAACCTGAATTGTTGCTGTATCGTGCTCGAGTTGAATGATTTCACCGACAAGATTATCGGAGCCGACCTTGACAAGTTCGTACATAGCGGCACCAGTCATGTTTTCAGCAACGACGACGGGGCCGGAGACTGAATAAACTTGACCACGAAGCTGCTCTTGCTTATTAGCTTCTTTAGTGGTGAACATTATATAATTTTTTGGAGCTTTACAAATTCAGAGCAAAACCGCCGATCGACCATGATATGCCTGATCGTCCTAATCGTTGAATTCCCTTTTTCCTTACACAACAAATGCTTACAATATATACTGCTATTACCAAATGAAAAATCTCATAACAATTTGCTTACATTGAAATTCTCAAATCGAAGTCAAAGCTGCTCAATTTATCCTTTAAAATAGATAGGATTTATAAAAACCATTCATTTCATACTCCTAAATTTCTAGTTTTAATAGATCAAATGATTTTCATCATCTGATTTTGTATTTTATTCGAAATATTTTAGTAAAAGATCAAATTTACAAATTGTAATTTGTTTCTATATGGAAAGCATGTATTTGTAGTTATCATCATTTCAAAATTGCGATATCTTTAAAAATTGATCAGTAAAACCACATTTCAGATCCATAAATTCATGTAATATCGATTCATGATGATACATTACCATGAGTTTGGCTATATTGCGTTGTATTGGGATGATTTTGGAATTTGAGATGGGAGAACTGTCACGTTTTTGTTACCCAGAATTTCAAAATAGTTTAGTCGGTTTTTGCATTTTAAAATGTTAGTCACCTTTCTCCTTCCAAAGTGAAAAAAAATTGTTTAAAATATAAAAAGAATTTTTATTCGCATAGGCGACAAACAAGGATTTATAAATAAATAATGGGGCTTTGAGTATTGATCTGAATTGAATCAGATAATTAGCCGTAAAAAATCTTCTAATAACGATTTCTCATGCATGAAAGATGGCTATGAGTGGCGTTAATGAGGGCGTTTGATAATTGGAGTTGGACATAAAATTTGGAGATCTTAATTTTTGAGAATTTTGGTGCGATCTTACTGGTACAAGCAAGAGTATGGAAGGAGATTGAACTGAGAAAAAACTAGAGCATGCAAAAGAATCATGCTACAGCTTAGTTGAATGTCATTTATGCAAATAAAAATTCTTTTTATATTTTAAACAATTTTTTTTCACTTTGGAAGGAGAAAGGTGACTAACATTTTAAAATGCAAAAACCGACTAAACTATTTTGAAATTCTGGGTAACAAAAACGTGACAGTTCTCCCATCTCAAATTCCAAAATCATCCCAATACAACGCAATATAGCCAAACTCATGGTAATGTATCATCATGAATCGATATTACATGAATTTATGGATCTGAAATGTGGTTTTACTGATCAATTTTTAAAGATATCGCAATTTTGAAATGATGATAACTACAAATACATGCTTTCCATATAGAAACAAATTACAATTTGTAAATTTGATCTTTTACTAAAATATTTCGAATAAAATACAAAATCAGATGATGAAAATCATTTGATCTATTAAAACTAGAAATTTAGGAGTATGAAATGAATGGTTTTTATAAATCCTATCTATTTTAAAGGATAAATTGAGCAGCTTTGACTTCGATTTGAGAATTTCAATGTAAGCAAATTGTTATGAGATTTTTCATTTGGTAATAGCAGTATATATTGTAAGCATTTGTTGTGTAAGGAAAAAGGGAATTCAACGATTAGGACGATCAGGCATATCATGGTCGATCGGCGGTTTTGCTCTGAATTTGTAAAGCTCCAAAAAATTATATAATGTTCACCACTAAAGAAGCTAATAAGCAAGAGCAGCTTCGTGGTCAAGTTTATTCAGTCTCCGGCCCCGTCGTCGTTGCTGAAAACATGACTGGTGCCGCTATGTACGAACTTGTCAAGGTCGGCTCCGATAATCTTGTCGGTGAAATCATTCAACTCGAGCACGATACAGCAACAATTCAGGTTTACGAAGAAACATCCGGTCTTACAGTTGGTGACAGTGTCATTGGCACAGGCAAGCCACTTTCCGTTCTTCTTGCACCAGGTCTTATGACAAACATTTACGATGGTATTCAACGTCCACTTAAAGATATTTCCGATCAATCACACTCAGTTTTCATTCCACGTGGTGTTTCTTGCGATCCAATTGATCTCAAGAAGGAGTGGTCATTCAAGCCAGCAAATTTTAAAGAAGGCGACAATGTTACAGGTGGCGACATCATTGGTTATGTCAACGAGACATCCATGATTGAACACCGCATCATGCTTCCACCGAAGGCATGCGGTAAAGTCAAATACATTGCCGAAGCCGGCTCATATGATGTTCTTCACCCAGTCATTGGTGTTGAATTCGACGGCAAAGTTACAGAGTATCCAATACTTCAAGAGTGGCCAGTTCGTACTCCACGTCCATACGCCGAGAAGCTTGTTGCTGACTTCCCACTTATCACTGGTCAGCGTGTTCTTGACTGCTTGTTCCCAGTTGTCCAAGGTGGTACCTGCGCTATTCCAGGTGCTTTCGGCTGTGGCAAGACCGTTATTTCACAAGCACTTTCCAAGTACTCCAACTCCGACGCCATTATTTATGTCGGTTGTGGCGAACGTGGTAACGAGATGGCAGAAGTTCTTATGGAGTTCCCAGAACTTAAAGTCGAAATCCAAGGTGTCGAACACCCAATTATGGATCGTACCACACTTGTCGCTAACACATCAAACATGCCCGTCGCAGCTCGTGAAGCTTCCATCTACACCGGTATTACACTTGCCGAATACTACAGAGATATGGGCTACAACGTCACCATGCTTGCAGACTCCACCTCACGTTGGGCTGAAGCTCTTCGTGAAATTTCCGGTCGTCTTGCACAGATGCCTGCTGATTCCGGTTATCCAGCTTATCTTGGTACACGTCTTGCTTCCTTCTACGAACGTGCAGGTCGTGTTTCCTGCTACGGCAACCCACACAGATCCGGCTCTGTCTCCATTGTCGGTGCTGTTTCTCCACCAGGTGGTGATCTTGCAGGTGATCCAGTTACATCAGCTACCCTTCAAGTCGTCCAAGTTTTCTGGGGTCTTGATAAGAAGCTTGCACAGCGTAAGCACTTCCCATCCGTTTCATGGACACTTTCATACTCTAAGTACGATGACATTCTTCGTCCATACTTTGTCCAGTTCGATCCCGACTTCCCTAACCTCCGTACCGAAGTTCGTCAGATTCTTCAAGAAGAACAAGAACTTTCCGAAATTGTCCAGTTGGTCGGTAAGGACTCACTTGCCGAGCCAGATAAATTGACACTTGAAGTTGCCCGTATGGTTCGTGATGATTTCTTGCAGCAGAACTCATACACACCATACGACAGAGTTTCTCCAATGTGGAAGACATTCTGGATGTTGAAGAACATGATGCACTTCAACGACCTTGCCCGCCACATCCTTACCGAGTCCGGCGAGAAGCGTGTTACATATGAAGCTATCGCCAACCACATGTCCGCCGAAATCCAAGGCCTTATCAGAATGAAGTTCACAGATCCCGCCGATGGCAAGGAACAATGCATAGAAAACCTCCGCAAGCTCTATCAACAGATTGAAGACAAATTCCGTACTTTCTCAGACTAAATCTAATTTGAATATCTCTTTTTTCGAACTTACTTTCTAAATTTTAAAACTTTTTTTTATTCTTTCTCAAATAAAACTTATCTTTATTTACTTTTACAGTTTCTACATGAGAAATACATGTAAACTCTCTTTAAATTAGCTTTAATATTATACCACTGATCTTGTAAACATTGCTCGATGTCATATTTCAAGTAGTATATGTGGAAGGGTTTAGTGACTTTTTTTGTTACATCTATATATAGACGATGCATTAAAATATAATTTATAAACACATTAAAAAAATTAACATTAATTTTAAAATAATTTATTTTTTTATCTTTTATAAAAGAAGCTATATATAGATGATGTCAGATATTCCGCGATTAATTAAACATTGTTTAAATCCTGAATGGGTTAAACTTCAATTTAAAAATGAAGATTGTGAATTATTAAATGAATATGAAAGCCAAAATAAGCTAATGAGGTATAAATATAATGATAAAGAATATTTAATTTCATGGAATCAATGGAGTCATAATCAAAGACCTCATAAACGGGAAGAAGAAATTGAAAATAATGAAATGGAAATCATTGATGACATTAAAGAGGATGGAATTCCTAAATTTTGTAGAAAAACCTTTAGAACTAAGTTAGGAGCATATAAACGTAGAGTATTAAATCCTGAATACATAAAACATTTATTTAAAAAGGAAGACTGTGAATTATTAAACGTTAATGAATATGAAAATGCTAAATCAAAATTGAAATATAAATATATTGGAAGTGATGAAAGGTGTAAAGATAAAGATAAAGTTTATTCAGTTTCATATAATAACTGGCACACGTTAGGGATAAGAAAACATTTAGGAGATTATGGGAAATGTTCTGAATTCTTTAAATCTAGTATGTACGAGAGAGTAAAAGAAATTAGAAATAATTATTTTCATGAATGAAAAATAAACTTTAAAAATTCATGTCTTACATTTTTGAATAATTTATTTTTTTAATTCGTAAGAAAATGAGTGGATCAAGATTCGTAACCGTCAATCAATTAATGGATGTTCTTTCACCAATTCTTGAAAATGTTAAACAAGTAGATGTTTATTTCGATGATTATGTAGAAAGTATATATTATAAAGGTAAGTTTAATATTAAACCTATTGCTTTTGCATTTGATAATAAATTAATTGAAAATGCAAAAATTTGGGAATTAATTCCAGATATTGAATATATAACAAATATTAATGATAAATGGTTTAAACAAATTCCAACCACAAAAGTTCTTTGTAAATTAATGATCAAAACTGAGGAAAAAGAATTTAACGGGTTTAAATATCATCCAAATAAAGTTTCAGAACTAGAAAATGAAAAACTTCAGAAAAAATTAAACGATAGACTTTCAAATGATCGTATTGAAAAAATAAACTAGCAGAAGTTGCATTTAATAATGAAATATTTGATGAATATAACCTTGAACTCAGTGATGGACTTTAAGTCCTGGGCACTTTGTGCCTTGAGCTTTAAGGACCCGGGCTCAACGAGTCATGATTTATGAAATCAATAATTTGATTTATTCGCTCTTCAATAATTTCTATTCTTTTTGTTAAATCATCAATTTTCATTAATGAGGTGATTCTTGATTGAGGAATAGATTTCAAACTAACCACTCCTTTTATTTTTGAAATTTTGAATCCATCAACTTTAAACATTTTATTCAATTTACATGTTGTCAATTCTTCAAATAATTTTTTATTATTAGCATAATAGTCATTAAATTCATCAACAGATGAAAAAAATTTTATTTCAGTAATTGGTTTAACAACGTTTATTTTTTGTTGAACATTTTCACTTTCATTTATTTCTTCCTCCTCTGTTTCATTTATTTTTAAAATTGGTTTCATTTATCATTAAATAAAAATTAGAATATCAGTGATGAAATATATTTTTTAATTAATATTAAATCAGAAATGGCGGCAGGATTCTTTAAAAAATTATGGACTCCATAGACAAGAAAGTTCATGAGAAATTAGATGAAGAAGAACTCGAAGATACAGTAGAGAATGCTAAACATTTGTTTGAAGAAGAAGTTGGAAAAATGTGTGAAAAACAATTAGAACATGAACGCGAGATATGTTATGGTTATAGAGATTCTTCATACGAACTAGACCAATGGGAACAAGAAGATTTAAAGAGAGAATTTAGAGAATATGAACTCGCCAAGATAGCATTTGAAGCTGCAGAAAAGAAGTTAAAAGTTTGGGGTCGTTTTGTAAAAAAATATTGTGAGTAAATGAACCATTTATTTTTGTCATTAATGACCAAAAATATGTGTTTACGTTAATGTTTACGTTAATGGTTTCAGGTTATTCAATAATACTTTATTTTTGAATAACTGAAGGTGTCACTATGTCACCATGTGTCACTCGGTTATTTAACTTCTCTGAAAAAATGAGACAACATGACATTTTGACAACAACACTGGAGGATTAATGAGGAAGGCAGTTATGACTTATTTTTGAAGAACTGAAGGTGTCACTACGTCACTCAGTGTCACTCGGTTATTTAACTTCTCTGAAAAAATGAGACAACATGACATTTAGACAACAACACTGGAGGATTAATGAGGAAGGCAGTTATGACTTATTTTTGAATAACTGAAGGTGTCACTATGTCACTCAGTGTCACTCGGTTATTTAACTTCTCTGAAAAAATGAGACAACATGACATTTTGACAACAACACTGGAGGATTAATGCAAAAATAAATTCAAATCATACTTTATAAAGCTTCATTTACAGGTATTTCATCGTCAGTAAATGAATCCTCATTATCGTTTGGTTCAACCTGTTTATATAATCCTTTCATTTCTTCTTTCAAAACATAACACCATGTTTGTTTACCATCTATTCTTCTCTGTTTCTTATCACATTTATCTTTAATGCTCATTTGAAAGTTTTTGTCTTTCATGTCTGATGGTTTGCAGAATAGAGCATTTTTACATGTCATACCTGCACACAATTCATCATAATGTGTATTTATCCATACATCTAAAGGATTTGTTGATAATTCAATTAAATCTTGTTTGGCTTCAGTCATCGGTATGATTCGTACATTAAATGATGAAAGGTCATATTGCATAAAATATGTTAGTAAATTATCATAAAATTCCTTAGTGCATGAATCCATTAAATTCTTGAAGTAATCAAATTGACCCTTAAATTTACCATTAACTCTTAAAACTACGTATCTTCTGTCTCCAACTTCAATTTTGACAGGGTAAACGTTATTAGTTACGAAAATGAAGTTTGCAACGTTCTGTGCTGTTCTTCTGGGTTGATTCTTTTCATTAATTCTAATCTCATTATCCGTTATAATTGATTTCAAAGCGTTGAAGTTTGCGAGTCTATCTTCACCTACATTCTTGAGTTCATTAAGTACAAGAAACATTTTATTCTCAACTACTGAATTGAAATTACCCGTTAGCTCACCTATTTCGGTAATGTTTTTGCATGAATAACCAGCGAGAAGTTCAGAAATAATGTCTGTAAATCTGTTTTTACCTGTTCCCTGAAGTCCTTTCAAAATAATTGCTGTTTCATTCTTGATTCCAGGATGTTGAATCATTGATGCAATCCAGCCGAGAAGGTATTTATACACTTCATCGTTATTATCACAAATGGCTTCTTTAATGAAATTCATAAACATTTCAATTTTTGAGTAATCTGGTTTTTCGAGAACGTTGTATTTATAACCTTGAAACGTTGAGAAAACATCTGGAGAATCAGATTTAAAGCAAACACCCTTAACGGTTAATGAAGACAATTGATTTAGTAGTACATCCCATGCTGTTATGGTTTTACCTTCTTCTTTAAATAATTTAATCATTTTGAGTGACTCTTTCATGTTTGATTGAAGAACGAATGATATTTGATTCATTTTGTCGTGTATGTTGTAATCTTTTTGAATGAAATATTTATTTCCACAATCTACAAAACGGATTACACGTGATAAATCCTCAATTACTTCAGAACTGTTTTTATACTGATGATTTTCAGCCTTGCGTCTAATATCTGTTATCAAAAACGAGTCATCAAGTTTGATATCAAATGTTATTTTTGGCTTACGTAATAAAGGCAAAACATATTCATCATAATATTCCTTTTGATATAGTTTTAGAATCTTCACTAAAACAAATGGAGAAGTCATTAAATGTGCATATCTATTACGTGCTTTTTCAAAATTACTTTTTGCATTTTCTGTTAAGCTGCAAAAGTTATAAACGTTATCGTATGCTTCATTAATTAAATGATTAGGTAACGAATTAATTGCTTGAAACAGTGTGAATAATGTAACTTCTTTTTCTAAATTCATATTTCCACCGTCATTATGTACTTCAAAATCACTAATACCATCAACTATGCTCTGGGCAAGTTTATCGTCAATGTTTACATTTTTGTTTTCATTCATGATAGTCTTTATTTCTTCGTTCTTCTGTTCAACTCTTACCTTAATATTCAAATCATTTAATATATCATTCACTGTTCTGGTTATGGTCGAGTCGTAACTTCCACGAATGAATGAGTATGTTTTGATTGGTTCTGTTGCATTCTTGCGAACTCTTGAATCAGCCATAACTACTAAAGAACGCTTTGAATCATCCATAGAAGTCATTATATCAATATCGTAATCATTGCAGGAATAGCATTTAATCATTCTGTTCGAGGTTGAATAGAAGAAATTAGTGTTACAATAAATGTGAAGACCTCCTGAAGCGGTTTTAACGATAACATCTTTATCCGAAAGTTTTGATAAAATGTCTTTTCTAACTGTTTCTTTAAGTTCATCATTGTATGATTTATTGATATCAACATCTATAATCGTTAAATTTGATATTTTATTTACTAATAAAGCCATACCAGTTTTCCTTCCTCTTCCTCCATCGTGTTTGAGGTAGTTATGTAAATCAATCTTGTTTTCACCAATTCTTTCGTTGAGGGTTTTAGTTTCTGCCACAACTAATTCCTCAGCTAATGAATCAATAACTTTTTCATCAGAAACGATATAGTTGCTGTTGTTGTTTGTTGCTGTCATTTATCTAGGAATAAAAAATAAAAATAATTTTAAAACTAACTTTATTTTTGGGCTGCATCAAATTTCCAGGACTGTTGTCAAAATGTCATGTTGTCTCATTTTTTCAGAGAAGTTAAATAACCGAGTGACACTGAGTGACATAGTGACACCTTCAGTTCTTCAAAAATAAGTCATAACTACCTTCCTCCTGTGATGTTGTCAAAATGTCATGTTGTCTCATTTTTTCAGAGAAGTTAAATAACCGAGTGACACTGAGTGACATAGTGACACCTTCAGTTATTCAAAAAATAATTAATTATTGAATAACCTAAAAACATTAACGATAAAATAAGTGATAACAAATTTTTATTTTTATCATAAATGAATACCCCACAAGCTCAAAATTTACCACGAATCATAACAAGGGAGGAAATGATAAAAATGATGCAAGAACATGTTAAAAATAACAAACCACTAAAATTGAGAAAATGTGGTTATGCAGTAATGATGGAAAGAGAGATGTTGTCGAAGAGGAATAAAAATTAAATTTGGATTGAGTTTAAAAATTCATCTTTATTAAATTCATCTCTTCCAATCAATTTATTTATTCTATTAAATTCTTTTATTTTTGCTTCACTCAGTTTAAGGATTGAACGATAAGTTTCTAATTTTTCGATTATTTCTTTATCATTTTCAACCCCACTGCATTGCGACTTCTTTTTGTAATAGCATATTTTTGATTTAATTCTGTTTAGTTTCTTTTTATATTCATTGTCTGGACTCTTGACTGCTTTGTTGTCACTCATTTTCTTACGAAATAAAAAAATTAAATATTATTTAAATATAATGGAGTAATAAAATAAATCGGAATTTCTATTAATTTATTGTCAACTTCAACTAATGCATTGCCGTTAATATATCTAACAAATTCAGCTATTGTGTCAAATCTTCGTCTTCTTTTTGTCATTGATTTATCAGTTTTTCCATAATCGAGATGAATTAAAACTTTATTTCCTTGTTTAAAATTCATGAGCCCCGAATTAATTTGTTCACGTTTAACATCATTTAACCTTTCCATTTGCTTTCTAATATATTCCCATTCTTTTGAAATATCATTTTTCATTTCCACTGGTTTCATGTTTATAGTTCTATGCCATGTATTATTGTAATAATATACTAACTGCTGTATGATGGAGTCATGATTCCCATCCCAGTATATCTGACCATTAACCCCTAACGCATCTCTAAGAGTTCTCATTACCACATCAACTATTTTATTATGAAACGTATATGGAGAGGATGAAAAGTAAAAATTAATTTGTGGGAAATAATGAGCCATAGCTGCCTGAAATCCTTTATCACCATCACCCCTTATATTATCTACTCTTTCATGATCTAGTAAGTATTGTATAGCTCTTCTTGTTTCCTGTTCTGTTTTCCCTTTCACCGGAATGCAATATAAATATCTGGTGTTAATGTTAATGGCAAATAAATAAGTAACGTTTCCTTTTGAATATTCCAGATGATCGATTTCGTATGTGATTATGACTCCATTGATTCCATGAAATTAAATATTCTTTATCATTATATTTATACCTCATTAGCTTATTTTGGCTTTCATATTCATTTAATAATTCACAATCTTCATTTTTAAATTGAAGTTTAACCCATTCAGGATTTAAACAATGTTTAATTAATCGCGGAATATCTGACATCATCTATATATAGCTTCTTTTATAAAAGATAAAAAAATAAATTATTTTAAAATTAATGTTAATTTTTTTAATGTGTTTATAAATTATATTTTAATGCATCGTCTATATATAGATGTAACAAAAAAAGTCACTAAACCCTTCCACATATACTACTATTTCATTAGGAAAGTCTTCTTGTTTTTAATATATCTGTCATAACAATCAATTGATATCTAACATCCATAAAGCTTCTATGTGTATCAAGCTGAAATTACTAAGTTTGTTCATAGAATTCTGTCATCTGATGGGTTTAAATGGTTTTTATCATTGGCTGAAATTCCAAATTTTTTAGGATTCAAAGAAAATATGAATCAAAAGTATATTTTGAGCAATAAATTCGAGAAATAGTTTTTTTTTTGATCAAAAAATAAATAAAATACGGATTTTACGATAAAGATATTGAAAAACAAAGAAATTAAAACTATGAACATGATATATTTTATTAAATCTTATTTAATTTACTGTAAAATATAAAAAATTCGGATTTTTTTAAAAATATTTTATATATCATGATAACTATCTTCCATTAGCTGCCAATATGATTAAATTTCTCATTTATGATTGAAGATATTCATTACTTTTCATAGTACATCAAATATAATGTATAAATTTATGATTTAAATAATATACAGTCTTTATTTAATAAAGTGTTATATCAGCAGTGAGTTTCATTTTATTTTATGTAAGGGTTATATCAGCAGTATTAATTGTTAAGAAAACATTATCATCTGGTTTGATCATGATTCTTCCTTGTGTTGTTGCAACATTCGGGAATGTGATTTCGTAACTTCCTGTGTTGTCAACATTACTATGTAAATCTTGCCATGTTTGACCTCTATCTGGTGAGAACTTAATTGTTACCTTTTGTGCATTGATACTTCCTGCATTTGTTCCTGCAACATCCCATTGGATTGTTGTTTTACTACCTCTTCTAAATGATGATGCACTGCTCAATGAGGTGATTTTGAATGGACCATCATCTGTAACTTGTAATGTGACTGTATCAAATGTGACATATCCTGGTTCACCGGAGTAATATTGTTTGTCTCTGACAACAAATGCAAAGTTTAATGTTCTTGCAACTGATGGAACTGTTTCCCAATCTGTTGGTGGAGCTTCTTCAAGTAACTTGCCTTGAAGAATTCTTTCTAATTTAGGAATATATATGAAGTTGTCTGTTGTTACATCATAATCTCTCATGATTGGACCTTTGGTTCTAGTTGATCCAAATGTTTTTCTAGTAACAACTCCAGCATATTCATCAATTGTTTCCCAGTGATAATATAAAACAGGATCATCATTATCATGTGCAGATCCTTGAAGAAGCTGGAACACCAGAACCTACACAAAAAGGTGACTCATATCAATCTGACGGATCTTTAACAAAGGGACAGATTGCTGGAATAGCAGGTATTGCTATTGCTGGCGTTATTATTCTGGTTGTTGGCATTATTCTGATCGTTTATCTTTTAAGAAGACCAAATCCAAAAGATGGCGAGATTGAAATGTCTGTTTAAGATGTACTTATTGTAATTGCAGTCTAAAATATATTAGTCTATTCATACTAAACATTTTTTTTAAATTAAAAACAATTGTTCAAAAAAGGAAATGAGAGACAAAATTTAAATAAATTGGAAGAATTTGGAGTTAGAGTTGAAATAATACAATGTGAAAGTGAAAATAAAATGCGGAAAATCCGTTATCCAGTTTAAATGTAATTTATGATATGAGAATGATTGATACTAAAAATAAACATATTAATGAATAATTTCATAATACAAACAAAACGCAAATTGAATAATTTGATCTAAAGTAGTCTATAAACTAATAAATGTAAGTATTCGAGCCTATAAACTCTTGAATATTCAAATCGGGTTGATCTGATTTCAATAATGTCCCAACAAGGGTGATAGTAATTATTTGATCGTCAATATTAAGATGACCATATAGTGGTATTTGAAAATGAGTGACTCCATCAAGCGGAATATTGCCAATTCGAACTTTTGTTCTTGCTAGCGGGATAATATCATCATTTCCTTGATAGTAACAGCATAATGTAAAATATAAAAAGCTATTTTCTATGTTATCTAAATTGACTGCAAGCGAAATTGTTGAATCAACATATGATGTTTTATTAATAAGAAACGGAATTGTAGAAACTGGACTCGATGACTTTTCGGAATTGATAACTAGCCACGCTTCTTCTTGAATTTCTGTTAGAGATGTTGGAATTGTTTCAACGATATTTAATTTTATTGACATTCAAAAAGAATGAAAATAAATATTGACATTTCAGTAAGGTATAAAGCCAAATTCAATGATTCAAAACAGTATCAGTATATTCTTTATAGTTTCAAAGGAAAATTGAGAAAATTCAGTCAAATTTATGGATAAATGAGAAAAATATGAAGTCTATTACAGTTAAATCATAAACATTATTTATAAATTAAAAAATTCTTACATATATTTATGGATTATATTACCAATCCATTTGTTGAACGTCGAGAAATTAACAACATCATCCGCACCCTCAATATCAGATGTGACTCTAACTCTCGTTGTATCATCAACTAAGGAAATCTGAATTGAGAACTGGCTGTGTTCGAAAACGACAGATGAGAACTTAACTTGGATCTCCTGTTCCTGTTCGAACGTTGCCTTACGGACAAATGACATCCAATCGATGCCCGGAAGATTTGATATCTCTTCCATGGTTCTTGCAACGGCAATACCAACAGATTCTGGTCTCTGGGCAATGCGCGACATGAAGATAAGACGTACACGCATTAAATTCCTTGTTTGCGAGAACATTGAAAATGCCTTCAAAATTCTATCAGCTGTTGGATTCCATTGGGACAATCTGACTTCGAGGCCACTGTTTAACATCAAAGCTTGCAAGTGGAACCATTGAGATTGCTCGTTCGGCTCGAAAACTTTCATTTTCTCATCTGTCTGCTGAACTGGGTGGAATTTGGCGTAAAGAAGGGCATCTCTGTCGAGGAAGAAGTCTTCTATGTACATCTTGAGGCTCGAAAGTTGAGAGGTGTGGACACTTAGCGTTGGATGAGATAATCTCTTCTCCGGAGAGAATCCTGGGAACTTTCTGAGCGCGATTTGGAGGACAAGGGATGGAGAAATCTTCGGAATAATGACATGGAATACGTGCGTCGACTTCCATGAAATATTCATCGTAAAATGTCTCTGGAAAATTAAGGAGAAGTAGTTATCCTTCGATAAAGCGGATAATGACCATGATGGACGGTTCGAATATGCAAGGAACGTATCTTGGAAAATACAGAATTGCATCATCGCCGAAGAAAGGAAAGCGCTGAGCTTATTGATAGCATTTCCTGTGGTTATCATGTCATAGATACACTGCTGGACCTTGCAATACCTTGCAAATTCAATCTCAAGCTTGACTCCTTGATCAGATCTCAAAATTAAGTCAACGGACCTTGTTGTTGAAGCCAAAAGGAGCATGCCACGGATGCTTACATGGAAGGCAGGTATGTGTTCTGGCATGTAATTGACGTCAACAGTCGGATACAAATCATAATTCGAGTTGATGAAGTCGCTCTGGGAAATTTGCTTGGCCACATTAAGAAGTTTCGAGAAAGAAACCGAAATATGGGCAAAATAATCGCTGAACCGGAAAGAAACGAAATTTCCGTGGATCTTGTAAGCGCATCTGTTGTATTTGTTGCCAATAATGTGGACGCTGTATTTTCCTGTTGGCGAAAACTCGATGGCGGCGATGGAAGTCGAATCTGGAGAATATGTAATCCTCGATTTCGTCGAAACAGCGGCTGATCCGAGGTCTTTTCGGATCTGGAGGTAAACAGCTGCGATTGCAGGTGGAAGAGATGAAATTTTGTGGCAATTTTCTTTGTATTCGTCTTGATCAAGAAGTAATTCGATAGAAGGAACTTCCTGGTTCGCGCAGAGCTTGAATCTGTAGTCTGGGCATGAAGAATAAGAAATTACGGGGATATAATTATCTCTTGCGTAATATTTCCACTTTTCCCAGAAGAAAGCGTTTGGATTGTTGAAGAACAAAGATGTCAATGCGTACTGGTTCATTAACAAGCGGAAAACCTTTCTTGTGTTGAGAATTCCTTGATTAATGCAGTGAACGACATCTTCTGCATTAATAAAGATTCCAGGAGCATGTATGATCGAAGCAACACATGTAGATGGCTCGAAGCCAATTGTCATGACATGTTTGTCGTTAAATTCGAAATAAAGGTGATAATTTAATTGTGTGACCTTTAACGAGAGAATCAAAGGCTTTACGTACTTGTCCAACAAATCCATGTACACTTTCATGAAAGATTTGAGCGCTGTCTCAAATAACTTCGGAATTAAAAATTCCGGCTCTGTATCATTGAATGTAACGTATTGGAACTCAGCCGCTCCCTCCAGAAACTGTGGGTGGCAAGATTGTACGACAATTTTTTGATTTTGGGAATATACGTTAAAAGTTCTAAATTGAGAGAATCCTTCCGGCAAAATGATCGTTATTACACCATCCTTGTGCTGCATTGTGAATTTATACTTGCTTTCGTATTTCATCAGCTTATCAGCGAATTCTGCTAAGGCAATATTGTTTAAACACTTATTAAAAAATCTATCAAGGCGGGTAAAGACATTTACACCACTATCAAGAATCGATGATACTGCGGCAATTATATTTTGGACTTGCAATCTTTTGATGCGAAAATCTGTTTTGAAAGACATATTCTTTAATTTAAATTGCTCATCTTTCGTTAATCTTATGCTCAGCGTGACTCGATCGAAAATAGTAATTGAAAAGTCTGTGCTGCGGATTATGACATTTGTAATTGAATTTGGAAAATCATAAGAAATAAGCTTAATAAATATGGTAGAATACGAGATTTCGTTGGCAAGAATAACTTCAAGCTTCTCTTCGGCTTCGGCTTCTTCTTCTGGCCGAAGATTATTCACTTTGGAAAATTCTGAGTTGATGTTTTGAAGGTTTCTGACAACATGGTTGATCATATTGTTGAATTTGCCTTCAGTAAGTGTCGACGAAGAGATTGTAGACTGTCTGTGCCAACGATATAATGCTAAAAGTCTGCCTATAAGAATTCTCGATTGAAATATGGCGGCCATCAAAGAACGTTTCGATTCTGCTTTACTTGAGGTTTCATTTAAGCATTTGGAGAATAATTTTTTACACGCAATTATTGTTGAATTCAATAATTGCTGGAATTCAACTGTTTTGTTATTCTCCACCTGCTTGTTTGTCTGACTTCGAACTTCCGCAGTTTCTTGTTCTTGACGTTGGATCCTCCGGAGCCTCTTTCGTAGGCTCACGGGGTTCATTCGAATATATTTGAAAAAAAAAATTTTTTTATAAAAAAAATTGGTTTTGGCGGGAAATATCAATTATTAAAGATCTAGTTTAATTTCCAATTACACTCAAAGAGAATCAACTCAAACCACTCGACTTTCAATAAAGAATCAAATTTTTAAATTTGCTTAACGTACTAGCCAAGCATTCATAACGATAAATAGTTCTAAAAATGATTTTATTTTTAAATAATCAGTGAAAAATATTCGAAAAACTTATATCCAAAGATAATTTTCGATTTATTAAAGAATTAATCAAAATTAGTATTGGAAACATGTGAATCTGCTTGAGGTATGCTATATATTCTGTTCGCTCATTCTAATTATCAGATCTGATTTCCGAATAGAGGAGATCATGTCAAGATTTAGTTGTCAATTATATATTAGTAAGTAGGACAATAGAAATAAGAATTATCCATGGATCAGATCTTAATTCTGTCAAATCTGTCACATTTTTGTTTCTGAAGGACGATATCAAATGCAACAAGAATTTGATTTGTTATCCGCTGCGGCAAAAAGTGGTAACAATTCGGATTGTTCTAAGTACTTCAAAGAATTCTGTGCTGCATTTCTCAAAGACCTTTGCAATGAAATTCCTGCTAGTCTTTTTTCTAAATTAATTAAAAAGAAAACAGCCTTTACTGCTGGTCTAGACTATTTCAACATTATTATAACATCAGATATAATGTCAAAAATCCAACTAATCGACTTCCATCAAGGGATTTCTTCTTTATTTAAATTATTAATGCACTATAGAATGAAAAAGGAGATACATTTTCAGAGTTTTGACCTATTTCTCACTATTCTAGACTATTTCGAAAACACAAATGATACCGTAAAGCTTAAATTGCTCGGTGATTTGATGGTTTACGGTATGGACATGTCGCAGTTCATAGAAAACCCAGAATCACTTTATAATTGCTATATACCAGATACAAAAATAGAGCCGGAATACAATCCAAAGCAATTCGTGAAACTTTATGAGAAATTTTTAAAACATTTCAAGCAGCATCAGTCAGCTTTCACGTATTGGTGGACAATAATATGTGAGTCATTTTTGCCTGTCATATTTAACTCAACTTCGTCCCAAATCAAATTAATCAAAAATCCAAAATATAATTTGAATTTATTCGCATCCGCATTGCTAGATCCATCTATCGATGCAAGTAAGATGAGTAAGTTATATCCAGAATACATATTATTGGTTATTTCCGAAACTGCAGAAAATACTGCGATTTCTTTCTTCGAAAAGTACTCGGATTATTTATCAAATATTGTCATTTCGGCTGCTGATAGGTTCTGCAGCTCCATTCTTCATTTCTTAACGCTACAATCCCAATTTTAGGAAAATCTCTTTTATTACCCGACAATACCTCAACGAAATCATACATGGCCAACATAATAAATGTTTGGGATGCAATAGTCCAGCGAAAAATCGACAACGCCCAGTACATTTTGATAACATACGCTGATACCTTGATTCAGAACCCAGATCCATGTTCCATCTACCTATTTTTGCTTATGACTTACAAAGCGAACCAAGTCATCCCAGCGAAGATCGCTTCAGAGCTGAAAAACTTCCCAGAAGATGTTATCTCGATTGCAAGGAGCTTTGGCGGAGTTCTGGCCTGCGCATTCTTACAACAAATACTCAAGCTAACAATCTCTGACATGGAAATAATTACAAACCGCTATCCTAATCATTGCGGAAAATTATTCATGCACGTTTTCTTCCAACAGAATTCCCAGGACACTACGATCTCTACAGACTACATGAGCATCATAGAAGCCATCCCAGTCGTTTTCGACACAAAACCGAAATTAGAAGCGGATACTTTCATCAAACTCTTCTTCAGGAACTGGGACCAAGACCCAGGACTCATAAAAATGTATTCTACATTCACAAGAACCTTCGTTTCGGCAATACAATCACTTCCTTCTGTAATTCATGTCAAAACCGCCGAAATTCTTATTCCTTATTTGAATACATTCACAAAAGTTGCTTTTGAAACTAAAGATCCTCTGATTCTGTTCGAAACCGTCGATGTTGTATCGAAGATTGTCTACACAAGGGAAATCGGGCCGCATATCACTCCAGTGATGACATCCAAGATATGCCTGAGCCTTTTGAAGCTTCTATGCGTTTCAAATAAAAATTATGTCGAAATTGGCTTAGATAGGGCTGCTTCTTCCATATTATCAGGCAATCCGATCTTTATGACCATTGTGCCCTTCTTGGTCCATATTCTGAACGATCTGAAAATTCATCCGAAAACATCGGTTGTTTCCGCCTTGGAATCAGCTCTTTTGTACTTCACTGTCAATGATATCACCAAAGCAATTGATTCCATTGAGAAGAAGATGATTAATTTGCTCAATACGTCGAATACTCAGTATTCTCAATCAGCTTCGATATATTTCCTCAACAGATCATCTGGAAATGACTTGAATAGAATATCCTCTAAGGTCATAACTGCAAACATCATCAAGATCTTTACTGCCATATTTTCAAAGTCATTTCTCACAGATACGACGATGTCTTTCGTAAGATTGGTTCATGGATACGCGGCTCTTAACATTCCGATACCTCCTGATCTCGAAGATTGCTTGAAATCAATTAATATTTCATATAACTTGGCAGATGGCATGTATTCGCTTATTGACGTTGCAGATACTCTTAAGACGAATAACAATGACTTATTGACTAACTTAGTTGGTATTATTATAACTCATTTTATGATTTATTCAACAAAAAAGGATCCAAGAGGTTCTGCCCAACTTATGATACTTGCCATCGAACTCTCTAGGAGATTAGGAGACTTTAACTTCATAGAAGACTTCCTTTCAAGGATCAAAAACATGCCAGATATCATTGAAGTGTTAGTTTCTCACCTTTCGGCATCAAATGTAGTAAGTTTCTCGCCAGATATAAATCCTGTGTGCATTGGTGTATCGAGTATTGACGCTTTGCAGGTTTTGAACGAAGAATCTGAAAAGAACGCGCAATTACTTACCGCAAGGTACACTTCTAAGACATCTCACAGATTCGACATCATTGAAGAGGAAGACAAGAGCGATGGCATTGAAGAAAAGGTAGAAACATTGAAATCCGAAGAGGAAGATTTCGAAAATTCAAACCCATCGAGTCAAACCGCCAAACTCTTCTCAAATTTGAAAGAGAAGATTATTTCACAGAATCTCCGCCAATTACTCAACACCCCAACAAATTCCGATCAAAAAATCGAGAACGATAAAAACCGTGAATTCAAAATTTTATCGGAAAAAACCGCCAAAATTGAGAGGAAGAAATCGAAACCAACTAATTCGGACAGTACATTATTAGCCATGTATTGTCTAGGGTTATTTGGCGAGAACCGCTACGAAACTCTTCCATCAGCCGGCAACATTATGCAGGCATTTCGGAGAGTCATCTCCACAACTGTTAAAAAAGAAGCGAAAGTTCCTCTCTACTTCGCTCGCGGCGGCAAATTCGATTGGAAGTGGTCAGAGACATCGAAAGACTTCCAGTCATTTGCCGAGTCACTTGGTCGGAAAGATAAAAGTACGACTCGTAAATTTGGCGACTGGCGATTGGACGGGACATTTTTCGTTGTTCCCGCAGACAGCGAATACAAACCGAAGTGCGAGGACACGATGAACGACGTCAGAGTTGTCTGGAGCGAGGATGGTATCACCATCTCGTCGAAGGACTTCAACAAGGACAAGAATACAACAGTCATTTGCGTGCAGCCACTTAAAACAGGTTTCGTAAGAGTGACAACAATGAATGCAAAAGTCACTTCACTTTTGGCAAATACAAACATTGTCAGGGCCGAAAGTGCTCCTTCAATGATTTGCACGACTGTTGTTACTCTTTGTCTTGGTAATGAGTTTAATACTCCATTTACTTTAGGAATTCCAAACAAAGAAAATATTATTAAGATGGTTCCTCAATATGTTTAATTTGATTTTATTTTGTTGATAAATTAAATTTTGTTTGTTCTTTTTTTAACAAATATACATCTTATTTTTGATATAATGATTATGGATGCGAAAGTAATGGTGGAAATGCTCTTCATTATTAAACATAATCATGTAATGTTTTTCCATGAAGAATACGATTTCGAGTTTATTTTTATATAATGATATATTGTTTGATATGAATTTTATCTTATTCCCTTTTTATTAAGAAATGAACCTACATTACATAACAGTTCTTCATTCTGCAACAATTTTTCACATATTTTATTTTACTTGAAATATGGTTGAGAACCTCTTCATTATAATGCAAATTATATTGGTGCAACTTCTCTTCATTATGAAACAAAATTTACAGCTTCTTTTTTCAACACTTTTAATTTATATTATTCGATTTTAAGATGAATAATAATATATTAAATCATGATATACTTGCTCAATCAATTGCGGTTAAAGTTTTCAAATGCTAAACATATTATGTTCTTTTTATTACTTTTATAACAAATTAATAAAAATGACGGATTAAACTATTTTGAATTACTTCATCATGCATAAAGAAACTGTTCTATAAGTACACAATGTTATAAGGCTGACGAAGAATAAGACAAGAAATGAAATTCCAGCAGCATTATTTACAAGCTTCATTGGAGCGAATTTTCCATTTTGTTCTATAATGAACATTTCAATTGTCATTACAGGAAAATCTAAGCCTAAATTAGTTGATGCTGGACTTATTTGCACATAAAAATTCTTTGTATTTGGAACAATACCTTTTGCATGTATATATCCAATATTTTTCTGAAACATTCTTTTGAGAAGTTTCTTACTATCAGGGGAAAGAATTGAAACTGCAGAAGAGCCTGTAAATTTAGCATATACGACTTTTGGTAATTGAAGAGCATAGCTAACTTCAAGATCAGTTTCCGCTGAAGAAATGATTGCTTTATTCTTTGGTGAAATAATTCCTGGTTTGAATTTATTTGTATAGTTCAATTTAACTCTTGACGAATACAAACATCTCGGGGAAAATGAATCTATAACTAATATTGAATCCATTTGATCCTTGAATACAGAAGGGAAATAAGGAATATTAACCTGTGTATAGTTATTAATAATCTGTGCTTCTGTCAATGGTACTCTATTCTCACCATCAGGTTCGGCAAACCAAATGCTGTACTTTTCTTTTTTTACGCATTCATTTTTAAGTTTAATATTGAATGTAACGTTTTCTGCAGCAGTTACATTCAAAAGATTCGATGGAAATTCAATATATGAATCGCTAATATTGTATGGATCATTCCCATCAGGTTGGTTTATTTGTGATGATAATGGACCATTTTTTGTACAATATAATCTTAATTCTAGAGTCTCCAAAGTTCCATGATCTGAGTAATCATTAATTCGGAATGATACTGTCCAATTTCCTTTCGGGTTCTCTCCAAGAAATTGATATGAATTCAAATCAACACTTTTGATTGGATAATCAATTGAATCAATTGTTATTAGTTTTAATTCACTCCGAGTTCCACCAGGGCTAATTACGTGAGGATTTAATGATCCAAAAGACAATTTTTTCGAATGAATTCTGAGGTCAACACAAACAACTGAATTATATTTTTCTTTAAATTCGAATGTGAAATTTACTTCTTCATTTGGTAATGGCATATTTACTGTTTTCTTCAATACGATTTTTACAGGACTTCCATAAGATACACTCAAATCATGAAAAGCCGCACACATTTCCTTAACATTAAGCCTTCCAAATCCGAATTGCCTGTTAAAGTATAAATCAAAAGCATTTTTGGTCCACATATGTGATTTTGGATAAACTTTTGTAGCCGTCATTGCTGCAACATAAAAAAGATCTGATACTTGTGGAAAAACCATATATGCATTGCCCAAACATACTGCAAATGCTCCTGCAAATAATGCTGCACTTGCGTTTGTTCCTGAGTAATTACTATTTTTGTAACCTGTCGATGGATCATTACTTAGTGTCCATATAGGTGCGTATTCATTCCCGACAGGAGCACTCAAAAAGATTCCAGTTCCTTCAGCTCCATTATCATATGGCGCTCCTCTGTAATATTATTAATATTAATTAATTAATTTAATATTAAACCTGTAACTTTTTGAATTGAAAAATCAAAATGTCACTTTTAAATATTTTCATATATAATTCATTAGAATCGAATGTATTTCAAGTACAAAAAATCGTGTCATAAAATTTGAATGAAAAATTTGTTTTCTGCATTAATGAAAATCTCTTGAATTTTGTTCATGAATATTTGAGGATCACAATATATATAATAGTTCCTTTTATATCTATGACTTTTGGGGCAAAATAGCAATTGATGAGTCGAATAACCCCGATTAAATTGTATAATAGAATATTACATATAGTTGATAAATACATCGCGATGCTGCAGCTTTTCAATAATTGAAACTTACATTTTTCCAAAGATTTAATAAAAATTGATAATTTTATTAAAAGGCAAGAATTTGAATAAGATAATGATTGATTTTATATATTTCTATTTGTTTTAACAGTTGAAAAGACTAAATCTATTATTTATCAATATTGAAAATTATATTTTAAAGCAATTTTGCAATAAACATATTTCGCGTGCTAACATTTTTCATAGTGTATTTCATGGCTGGAGTAGCCGCACTTGTAGAAATCTATTCAAGGTAATTTGTGAGCAATACAGGATTTAGTTAAGTTGAGTTTGATAAACAGCATCACATTACTATAAAATAATTAGATTTGTTGATAAAAACAACTTAATAGCAAACTTGATTTGATAATATCTTAAAAATCCATCAAAAATCCTTCAATATTTTGAAAATTTTCTAAAATTATGTTGTAGAATTCATAAATATGCAAAATGGTTACTTTTAATAATTGGCACTAGCCCCGTTATCAAAATTATTGAAAAGTTTACAAAGCTAGATGTCGAGCTCGTCGGATTCCTCAGACTCCCGCAGTGATATGTCGGAATTGCATTCCGAAGATGATACTGGCGAATACACTCAGCCAAAGCCTCACAAGAGCAACGGATTTTCTGTTAGAAATTTCCAGGAAAGAGAAGCTCTTGACCAATCTGATAGCAGCGATGAAGTTGATGAAGAAGAAGAAGTTGCCAATGAAGCAGATAATCAATTTTTAGATAATGACGATGATGTTGTAGATCAAAAAGTTTTTCGTGATTATGACAAGCGCAGACGTCTAGAAGAACGCAAAGAGAATAGAATGCGACTCGAAATGCTCAACCAGATTTCTAAGGACTATGCTCAAGTCGATGAAACAGAATTTATCTTCGATGATTCAGCTCTTTCTCAGCCATTTTCTTCATACAGAATTGCCCTCGAGCCATCTACAGGTTCTAACCAGCTTTTCCATGTAAAATGCAAACCAGGAAAGGAACTCGTTGTAATTTCTTACCTTTACGCCAAGTTTGCACATTCACCATCCCAATACAATCTTACTTTTGCCGCCTACACTCCAAAAATCAGCTCAGGCTTCATTTACGTTGAAGCGAGAACATTAGCCGATGCAAACACTCTCTGTTCTGAACTTCCATTCATTATGAACCTCAACAGAATGAAAAACCTCAAATACAGTGAAATGGCCAAGGCCATGACCATTCCAAGAACAGAAGTTGATTTTCATCCAGGAAATTTCGTCGAAATCCTCAAAGATTCTCAAAGCGGATATTTCGTCAAAGGCGATATCGGTCAAGTCATCAATATCAACATCAACAGAAACAAGGTTATGGTTAAACTTATTCCTCGTATTGATTACGACCGTATTGAGAGCGATACCCTTCCAGAGAAGAAGAGCAAGGCCGCCAAAGAAGTTCGCATCCCTCAAGCCGACTTCCAACCCGAGAGAATCATAAACCACGCGACAATTACCGACACAACCTTACAAATTGGCGATTCTACAGTCGAATTCAAGGAGTACGATAACGCATTATTCTACGGCCCATTCCTTTACCACGAAATCGAGACAAAGAAACTACAAAAAGTTGCTTATATTCAAATGGACTTCGGAAAGAAGTTCCAAGACAACTTTTACGACTTCGAACAGCGCATACCATACTTCAAGAACAACATGTACTCAGCTCTTGGCCTTACAAACTCAACAACCTTCAATCAAGGCGATATCGCAAGAATTCTCGAACCACACGAATACCAGGACGTCATAGTTGATGTCCTTGGAGTACAAGGAAACATCATCCATGTCGCTCCTCGTGCTACAAACGAAGTAGAAAAAGCTCAATACGACGGCATCGAATTCGACATACAATCCGACCTCCTCGAGAAGTACTTCCACGAAGGCGATAGAGTTAAGATCATCGCCGGTGCAAATAGAGGTAAAATCGGTATTGTTCTCGGTGTAGATATGAAAACATTTACTGCACAGATCCAAATCACTTCAATCGACGCGATCGTATCCGAAAAAGTGGCCAACCTTGCACATACAAGAAGAGAAGAAGAGATTCAGATCGTTCTTGGCCAGTATCGACTTAATGATTTCGTTGTTTTGCTTGATAAGCAACGCGGTGTTATCTGGCGTATCGAGAATGATATTGCATTCATTCTTTTGGATACAGGTGTTGCTATTTCCGCTGATTTGTCTCGAATCTTGTGCAAGGCAAGAGATGATACGGTCAGAGCATCGAACGGAAAGGCCATTACGATCTCCAGCGTAGTCAAGGTCAAGGATGAAAGGTATAACGCCACAGTTATCCACACAACCCACTCAAAAGTTTTCTTACAGTCCCAGCAGAAGCAAACAATGGGCGGTTTGTTCGTCAGACCACCTTCCGATATCACCGTGTTCACCACGCCAAAGAACGTCGCTCCTTCGGCTGGATCCGGCGGATTCGTCATTCAGCGTCCGAAACAAGACTTATCGTTGAAGGGCCAGACGATTAAGATCATCAAGGGCCCGTACAAAGGCTTGCTTGCCGATGTTAAAGAGGCAACTGGCGAAGATATGCACGTAATATTGCATACGACCAAAAAGATTGTCAGATTGTTCAGAACTAACGGCATGTTCACTGTTGTCAAGAAGGATAACAACGACTTCATGAAAAGACTCTTCTCGAAGGATGATGACCTTCCTGCAGAATCTGCTCCATCTACAACACAACAACAAACATACGACGCACCAACATACGCACAAACAACTACACAACAAGAACCAGCACCTTCGAATTACGGAAATGCTTACAATTCAGTTTATTCTCCTCAATCTGCATCTCCTTCTTACGGAAGTACAACTTACGGATCACCATCGTCTTACGCTTACAACCAGCCGTACGGAGGCTACGGTTCTTCCTACGGAGATAGCTACGGATCGCCTGCATCCAGCGCATACGCTTACGGAGGCCAGGCATCGCCAGCTGCTGTCCCGTACGGATCGCCAGGTGCACAACCATACGGATCCCCTGCTGCAGCTCAGCCATATGGCTCTCCAGCCGCTGCAGCTCAACCTTACGGATCTCCGACCGCAGCACAGCCATACGGATCCCCTGCTGCTGCACAGCCGTATGGATCTCCTACTGCCGCTCAGCCTTATGGCTCTCCTACTTCTTACAGCCCACCTTATGGAAATATGTATTACCAGCAGAACAAACAGAATTAAAGAGTTTATATATAAATTATAAATTACATAAATATTATAATATTTTAATTATATTTTTGAAATAATTATTTATTTTGAATTTTGCCTGGCAAACACCGTAAGCAGCAAAAGTTTTCAAAATAAAGGGAAAATATGACTAATTTTACATCATTTTTTTCCTGAATGTAAAATCTGATTTTTATTTCTTACAATTATAGGAAAAAAGAAGAATGATGTTACTTTTCGAGGGACTTGAACCTAATTAGGGTTCCAAAAGTGAAAATATTTTGATACTGCATGGAAACCATGAACTAATTTCTTATGCAAGCGTAATGCTGGCTTTTCCCCATTATTATCTTCTGCATTTATATCAGCATCATGTGAAAGAAGTATATCTATAGCTTTATCATTATCAATCGCTGCAGCATAATGAAGTGCTGTCTGTCCAGTATTATCTTTTTCATTTACATCGGCGCCATATGATACCAGGAGTGCAACCATTTCTTCATGATTAGATTTTGACGCAACAATTAAAGGAGTTTTCCCTTGATTATCTTTTGCATTGATGTTAATCCCATATGAAATCAATAATTTTGATTCCTCAATGCAATTATATTTAGATGTCGAATGAAGTGCAGAATATCCCAAGGTTATACTTTTTGCATTGATATCAGATCCTTGCGATTTGAATAATTCAAAAAGAGATGGAATTCCATCATCATTGATATCATTAGTTTGATCAAAATGAACAAAAAATGCATTGAGATTATTAAACTTTGCACATTCTTTCAAATCAATTCTTATGTGATATTCATACATTAAAAATGTTACAAAATCTATGTTGTGTGAAGCTATTGCATATTTCATGGATGCATCATCTGGCATTTGATCTTTCAAGCATTCATTTATAATTTCTTGATTTCCACCTAAAAATGAATATTGGAGACACAATGGAGTTCAGACAACCATTTAAATTACTTAACATTAAAATGAATGAATATTTATCAGTCAATGCAAAAGGTTTATACCCTGCTGACATTGGCGAGCATAACGAAATGTACTGCAGTGACAACCAGGATCAAGCTGATTGGTTCGTTCGCCATGGCGTGTTTGTGAACTAAATTTATATATTAGATTACTTAAATTTTTATATAAATATATGCAAATTTACCAATATGATATTAATTTGAATCACTTTTCATATAAGAATGATAGAAATTATTTTCTATATTTGTTTCATATTAGTAAGTCAATAAAAGAATTCTTTCAACAACGTCCACAATACTTGGTTTAATAAACTTTTTGATTGCTATCATTTGTAAATTTTATTCATGAAATAATCTTTTTATGTTGAATATATATCTACCAAATATAACATTAAGGGTGCACACGAGAGGATCATGTAAACTTCAGAATTTAGAACCTTATTTTTAGGCATTATCTTGGCTACCTATTTAGGCTCGAAAAGCAAAAAATATCAAAAAATACAACTTGACTCCATTATGACCCTTTCATGGAGGTAGTTTTTATCCGCTAGTATTTTCCCTTTGAATCTCTTTACAATTCGAAATCAAATTCAAAACTCAGTAGAAGAAAGGAAGAATCGACTTACTACGGTTGTAATACGAATAAATACATATATTTAATTATTTTTATTTACATAATAATTGTTTGAAGCTCATATTCCATCAAATTTTTAAATAAAAACATTCAAATGTTGAAAATGTTCATATATTTTAATAGGGTTTTGGCACTTTATTGAGGAATTACTACATACATAGTCGAACTGAACTTGATATTTTGAAATTTAAATTATTTATCAAAATTAAAATTTAACTTGAAATTTATAATTATTTAGTCATATTTTGCATAATTCTAAGTAGATTTTGTAAAAAATCAAGAAAGAAAAATTTTAACGTGCTTTATTTTTTCTTTTTTATAATAATACATATTATTATATAATTAACATATTCATAATGTTTCACCCTTTCAAAAATATAATCCTCCTCCTCTCAAATAAACGTACATACGGGTGGCCTCTTTTTTCAAAAAATTAAGGGTGCACCCGTATGTACGTTTATTTGAGAGGAGGAGGATTACCCTCTCAATTTTGAGGGATTCGTTAGTTTATTTTCTCGATGAATATGCAATAAAATTTGATTTTTACCTTATCAATATACTTCATATAATATACACATGTTCATGTAAAAACTTTTTTCCAAAATCCTCAGGAATTAAGGGATTTTTGAATTTTAAGAATTTTTTTCGAAAAAAAATATTTTCAGAACAGCCTTAACGGCTAAGATTTAGGAACAATGTTAAGTATCAAAAAGAAAGGAGGTCTGATATAGACAACAAATATCGTTGAAGGTTGAAAAAATCTCTAATATTTGAGCCCAAAATTTCAAATTTTAATTTTTTGAAAAAAGAGGCCACCCGTATGTACGTTTATTTGAGAGGAGGAGGATTATATTTTTGAAAGGGTGAAACATTATGAATATGTTAATTATATAATAATATGTATTATTATAAAAAAGAAAAAATAAAGCACGTTAAAATTTTTCTTTCTTGATTTTTTACAAAATCTACTTAGAATTATGCAAAATATGACTAAATAATTATAAATTTCAAGTTAAATTTTAATTTTGATAAATAATTTAAATTTCAAAATATCAAGTTCAGTTCGACTATGTATGTAGTAATTCCTCAATAAAGTGCCAAAACCCTATTAAAATATATGAACATTTTCAACATTTGAATGTTTTTATTTAAAAATTTGATGGAATATGAGCTTCAAACAATTATTATGTAAATAAAAATAATTAAATATATGTATTTATTCGTATTACAACCGTAGTAAGTCGATTCTTCCTTTCTTCTACTGAGTTTTGAATTTGATTTCGAATTGTAAAGAGATTCAAAGGGAAAATACTAGCGGATAAAAACTACCTCCATGAAAGGGTCATAATGGAGTCAAGTTGTATTTTTTGATATTTTTTGCTTTTCGAGCCTAAATAGGTAGCCAAGATAATGCCTAAAAATAAGGTTCTAAATTCTGAAGTTTACATGATCCTCTCGTGTGCGCCCTTAATTCCTGAGGATTTTGGAAAAAAGTTTTTACATGAACATGTGTATATTATATGAAGTATATTGATAAGGTAAAAATCAAATTTTATTGCATATTCATCGAGAAAATAAACTAACGAATCCCTCAAAATTGAGAGGGTAATCCTCCTCCTCTCAAATAAACGTACATACGGGTGCACCCTTCAGAAATTACCAATGTGAAACAGGCTTCCATATAATATCATTTTGAATAAGTAGATAAGGACAAAAAAACGCATTATACAAGTTCTTACATTGTTTCACTGATTCTAGAATTAAGTATATTTGAACTATCAACAGACACAAACAGTATCAACATATCTACTATTTTCACACATTTATATAATTCAACATAATGAAGAGGAGTTTCTCCAACAAGTTTTTTTTTAATATTATTTGCATCAAAAAGATATCAAAACTGCTGCTGCTCCTTCATCAATATTTTTTATATTGACGTCTGCTCACCAAGGGAAATTAGGAGTTTGATTGTATCTTTATAATTATGTTTTGCAGCAAAATATGAAGCAGTTTCTTCATCATTATTTTTTTTAGATTGATGATTGCTCCATGTGATATTAGTACTTTAACTATTTCTTTACAATTGCGAATGACTGCAAAATGAATAGGAGTGTCTTTACATTCCTTCTTTAATATTGTTAATATGGAAAAGATTGTTTTTTTTAAGGGTCCACTGTAAAAATTGAAAGCATTTTAACAGACCCTTGAGAAAATGTCATCAACTCATTGTAATACGTATTAGACATCAATTCAAAGTGACATTGTTACACATCAAAATCAGTCAATATTATTCTCTGCAAAAAAGAAATACTCTATTTCCGTTATCATATTGTTTAGTCATATTGTTAGAAGGGCCAAAAGAATTTTTTATATACCACTTGTTGAAGGTCATTCTAACTTCTTAAATTCACTGAGATATTCCTCAAATTCAATCTTGAAAATTTCGTATTTCTTTTTTATGGAATATCTCAATGCAAATAAAAAAGCTATTCATCATATATATTGATATATGCTTTGCAAGATTTGAATTCTGAATTGTACATTTTTCGAATTTTTAGTCCAACAAAATTTCACTAGTGTGAATATTTGTAATGAACTAATCTCTTGCCTATTGCTCGATCCGCCTTGTTTATTAGGATTTATCAATTTCCGGCTGACAATGATTTCGATTTTTTGAATGCTGAGAATTCCCATTAATTATTTTTCATTTTTTAAATATTGGCTATCTGCATTGATATATTCAGTTAGATTTGAATATTCATGACGATGAAATTTGAATTAAAATGCAGATCACTTTACAATTCAAAAATTATTGAAAAATGCATATTTACATATGGTGATTATATTTTTTCATAAATTAAGCTTGAATTAACCCTCAAATTATTTTTCAATCAAACATGCTCAAAATGCTACTTTTAATATTTACTATATCTTGTGAATTCCAAACTGTTGGCAAAAAGCATGGCAAATTACGGTTTATTTTAATATTGAAGTTTGGAAAGTTATTGTCTATCTAATCTTACGCTAATATATCAAATAACTCATTCTTTTGAATGTTAATACAAAATTTCTGAGGATCCAAGATTTGTAAATTGAATTTAAAAAATCAACACGAATACCATCTGATTATATACTTTAAATTTTTGCAAAATTGATTTATAACTCAAGAATTTTTCTCCAAAATTAATGCTGTTAGCTGTTTTCAACATTGGAGTTTGGGCTGAATCTTCCATTCAGGAACCCGAACCTGAGGCCAATGGTCTCTTCGGCTCATCAAAAACAACCACATCTGATGATCCAATGGCCATGCTTTCAACAACAAAGCATTGCTCTGTTTCAAATTACAACGTAAAAGATCCAACTGATGCAGCTTATTCAATCTATGCCGAAACAGGTCTTGACTATAACCAAATTAAAAACTTCCTCACAAGATCCAAATTTTCATCTGGCTCAAAGACTCTTCTTTCTAAATTCGCAATGAGCCCAGGAACATCATTTGATACTCGCTTTTCAACTTACAATGGCGCCGTCCTCTATTCTGTTAAAACAGGAGATGGAAGATTCGCAATCAAAGTTGGCAAGGTTAATTGTCAGACATTCCTTAGAGCCACAAGTACAACAACCACTAAGAAGAGATCCTGGTTCGTCTTCAGATCTACATCTTCTCACAAGAATGCCCGCGCTCTTAAGGCTTGGGAGCTTGATGCACTCTGCAAGCACGCATTAGCTAAGGTTGCCCCTGAAATGGAGACCTATAAGAATTTTAAGTAAAGGGTTACCCTTAATTTTATCAATGATTAAACAATAATTTCACATTTTTATCTTAAACCATAGCATGAAATCACTTCTCCTCTATTCCCCGACATTATACATAGATTGTGAGGAATATCGATAAAATTTCACTATTAACTACAGATATATCTTAGATTAATACTATCGATTATATACTTGTATGATTTCTGATTGCATAACTGAGAACCAACAAACTCAAGGCAAAATTTATTTTGCGAATAAAAAAATCATCTTGATTAATTTAAATTTTTCACCAAAAATATAACTTTGCTTTTAAAAACTAACTATTATCCCAATTAAAATCAAAAAGAAGATCCGAACCTTTTTTTGTTTTACAAAAAGTGGCAAGGCAAAAAAAGACAAGATGAGTGACTCTTCAAGTTCGCAAGACGAACCTGAGAATATTCAGCCGCCGGTCGAGGACCAACAAAATGATGAGCCTCCACCAGCTGTCACAGCACCACCACCTCAGCAACAAAAGTCTCCTGAAAAAAAGGTTCAGTATTATATGAGAGGTGGCCAACAATTTCAGGAGAATAATATTGTACCTGTGCATACTGTTTTCTTTTTCAGTATTCCGTACAAGATTGATCAAGCTGAGTTTAAAAAATTTGTTGAGAAATTTGGTGAAGTACAAAATATATATGAAAAGCGTGAGAATGGCAACTATTTTGTGACATATTATGATCTTAGGTCAGCAATCGCCGCAGTTGAACAAGATAGAAACGAAACGTTAAACGATAGAGTAGTAAGAATGAATTATGCGTATAAGGCTAGAAAACAACGTAAGGATCCTCTTTGTGCTACGGTGAGTGTACATTTACAATCAACTTCAGGAGTAACTGAAGCTGAAGTCCGAAGCGCTTTCTCAACCTTCGGAGATATTCTGACTATACGTAAGGATTCAGATAATGTTTATGTGGTTAAGTTCTATGATTTAAGGTCTCCTACGAAAGCCGTCGAATGCAAGGATCCGATTATTTTAGGCGGACAGCCTTGCAAGGTCGAATTAAAACTAGGAGAAGACGACGGCCTCGAACAGGAAGAACCCGAACCCCCAAGAAACCAAAGACGCTCTGATTCTCACGACAGAGACAACAGACGTGGCCACGACAGAGATAACAGAGGCAGAAGAAACGACCATAACAACAACCATTACAATCAACCTCCTCCACCACCTCAATACGGCCAATATCCTCAATATCCTTATCCATACATGCCTCCTTACAACCAGCCACCTCCATACGGATATCCTCCTTATCCATATCCTCGGCCACAAGCTTACGGACAGCAGCCACCACCTCCACCTCAGGGCTACGGCCAACAACCACCACAAAACCACTACGGAGCACCCCCTGCTTATCCACCACCAGCATACGGACAGCCACCTCCACCTCCTCCTCAGGGATACGGACAGCAGCCTCCTCCTTCATACATGCCACCTCCACAGGCAGTTCCACCTGCTCCACAGCCACAGCAGCAAACTCCTCCACCTCCACCACCACCTCCTGCACCTGCACCACCGCAGCCAGCAGCTCCTCAGCCACCGAGCGAGCCAACTTCAAATAGAAGAACTCTCCAAGAACTCCAAATGCTTTTATCTGGAAAATAAATTCTGTTATCTTTTATTTAGTTTTTCTCATTTAAATATACTCATCATATTTTATAAATTTTCATGCAATTGTGATGAAACACTAATTTGAATAATTTTTTTTAATTAATTACATTAATAAACACATTAAACAAAGGCATCAACGAAATATATCCAGCTTATTCCTTTATGATTAGGATAGCTAAGGGTGAATAAAAATATAAAAATTATATTCAAAAATTAATCGATGAAAGACATTAAAACGTAAGGAAATCCTTTTTTGGTGATGTAAAGTAATAATACACAATTCAAAAAATGGCATAAACTATATCAATAATTGAAAAATAAGTAAAAACTTAAAAAAATGAAAGAAATTGCTATTAAAATGAGTAATTCTAATTACCCATGCTATAATTTAATCCAATCTAAAATATTCTTAATCCTTAGCCTCATGAACCTTGATAACATCTGGCTGAGACTCCTTTGGACCAGAAATGCCAGATGGGTCCTGAGCGAGCATAATAAGAACACGGATACCAATTGTAGCTTGCTTCATTGGGATGTGGCCGACAGCCTGTGTAACAAATTGTTTTGTAACATCACCAGACTTGACCATGTAGCCTTCTTTATACTTGGATGTGGAAGCACGAGCACCACGGAGCTTACCAGAGATAGCGACTTCGCAACCACGAGCGCCAGCATCCATAACAAAGCGGATGATGGAGTAGGCAGCACGACGGGCTGGGATACGAGCGATAAGCTTGTAGCGGAGGGACTCGAGCTGGTTGAGGGCGGAGAGACCCTTGCGCTGGATACGATCGATGAAGATCTCGAGGGAGTCTTCCTTAAGACGCCAGCGCTTCTGGATCATCATACGGACTTCCTGGAGACGGCGGCCATGGTTGTCAACGAATTCCTTTGTGTTGGCAGCCTTGATGATGATCTCTGTGCGTGTTGGTGTTTGGCGAACTTCGCAGCCACCATAACCTTCCTTTGTGAGCTCACGTGTGAGGAGTTCGTTGAGTTCAGCATAGAAGAGGCCTGTTTCGATAATGCGACGGACCTTTGTGCAGCGTTGAGCCTTCATAAGTGGAAAAGGCCATGTCAAACCGCTCTTCGTAATTTTGTAAAACCACAAATTGAAATAAGATCTAAAAATGGATGACGAGACCTATGCTTGTAATGAACCTATTAAAAATAAATAAAGAAAATATCTAATTGCACTTCTGCACATTCAATAAGAGAGTTTGTGAGCATGTATTGATCAACATCCTTCTCCTTCTTTATGCAGAGGATGATACAAGCAAGATCTGCTCTTATAGATATTCCCCAAAATAAGGTATGATCATAATTTTCTTTTCTTCTCAAAGTTTATTCGAAAAATGGTCGTATTTAGTAAATATCGTCTTTCATTTAGTAGTAAACATTCATACAATGTTTATCCTACTCATGAATATGCATATAATTGACATTAGTACACTTTCAATGTCAGTAGGTTTCTGTTTTGGTGGCTTTGCCGGAGATATCATTTCTTTCATAGCATATTTTCACAATAACATCAGCTTCTGGTATCCAATCCTCGGAGTACTGGTTTCTGATGCTGTATTTTCAACATTAAGCATGATATTCTTCATCATCAGAACTAATTCAATAGTCAAAGCTCTGAATGTACATATGGAATCAACACAAGATTACTTTGATTACTATGATACCCTTAAACTTAATATTTATCCCCAAAGAGCACTAAGATATCTCAGAATTGGGTTCGAGAAAAATTGTAGTTGTTTCTATAACATGTCACTTTTACTTTACATTTATGAACGATATGACACAGAAAAAGAGCTCAGATTATGTGTTTACTTCGCAAATATGTTTCCACACGAGACATATTTACAGAACAAATTGCAGAAAAAGCTTATGACACTACGAAAACTACATTTTGTAACAAGATTTTTATTATTCCAAATTGATTCAATCAAATCTTTGAGACAATTCTCGGAAAACAACTTTGCTAAACTCAAGTTGCTAAAACTTAAGAACCTAACACGCCAATGCGAGTTTATATCCAAACAAAGTGTTGATAGTAAAATTGATGCAAAATTTTTAGAAAGTTTCGCTTCAATGAACTTGAAAGCAAAGGCATTATTCAAGGAATCAATCACCCTAATAGTGTTGCATGCTAAGTTCGGTCAACAATAGAAATTGAGTGGAAATTAATCGTCGAGGAAGTACGATTATGTAAAGTAAAAAATGTTGTGGGATTTTTAATATTATATATTATTTTATAATAAAATTTTTTTGAGTCATTTTAAGAAGCACATATAATTTTTTGAATTTAAAAATTAAAGTAGTGTCAAACGAATTTATCACTTAATTTAATACTCAGATTTCTTAAAATTAATGAAAAAAAGGTTTTCTGAGAACTTTTGAGAATGGTTTTCAAATTCCATTATTGAAAATATATAGGTATTGTATGAAATTCAAACTCTATATTTATTAAAATTCTAAATTTTTAATAAAATAACTTTTCAGAGGAATATGATTTTGAATGGTTGATTAATAAGTATAAAAATGTCTACGATTTTAAGGAGGGAATTGTTCCTTATGAGGTATACATCATAACTATATACCTCATAAGGAACAATTCCCTCTTGATAGCTGGGAAACTTTCTCTGAATAACTTATCATTTGGAGAAAGTTTCCCAGCTATCTATTAGAAACTAAAGGCTGTGAGGCACTAATATATAATCAGTGCCTCATAGCCTTTAGTTTCTTATTAAAAACGAGAAAACTTGTTCGAAATGATAAACAATTGCGAACAAGCTTTCTCGTTTTAAGGAGGGAATTGTTCCTTATGAGGTATACATCATAACTATATACCTCATAAGGAACAATTCCCTCTTGATATCCTGGATATTTTTGAATATATTTTTTTAATTAAAGTTCTCAAAAGTATTATCAAAAGTGATTTTTTAAAAATATCTCCAATTAATTAACTAATTAAAAGTATTATATTTTTAAAATTAAATAGTTTTTCAATTTTTTTGAAGGAATTGAGATACTTCCCACGACAATAAAATTGAGAGGTTTACATTATGACTGATCTTAGCATGCAACAATAGTGCCAAAATATGTGATGAGTACTGTAGATTTTTGATTGAATCTGAATGTGATTTTCCAGAAACTGTCAAAATCAAGCATAGACAGAATCAAATAGAGTTAGGTCAATCATATACCGCAGATCTATGCTTTAGGTACTTTATTAAATCATTTCCAAAATATTTGACACAAGAAATTGTTGATTTTGATGGAAAAATCATCAAAAAGCTCCAAAAAGAAGAGGAAGTCTTGGATTCTTCGAAGATGTCAACGAGACAGAATACATCGAACGAAGGAGTTCTTGATACAGATGTCGAAGACTTCATTGCAAGGCAAATCCTGAAATATCCAAGAGAAAGATTGGCTCTTTCTCGATTGTTGGATTCCAAACCTCCAAAAGCCATTAATTGCATGAAAAAAGCTATAGCAATTATTCTTTTCTACGTTATTGGTATTTGCCTTGGTGGCACTTTATATGCACAGAGCATTATACAAAATCACATTGACAAAATGAACGAATTGAACTATATTTCACGATCAAGATTTTTCGGAGCTCTTTCGAATGTCTGTTTGATGGGCGAATATTTCACGCAGCATAATGCAATTGGCTATTACTTAGAACAATTTGGTAACTACCTTAAAACAACAGCAGATCCTCATCCCCTCATTCTGATGAATGAATCTATGATACATTCTATGAGTAATTTCACCAAACTTTCATCAGAAAACTTCGATACTTTGATGAATAAATTATCGAAGCAGAGCCTTGAAGGAGCAGATATTTATGACTACGCAAGTTCTCTATTAAATGTCAACCTTCCACAGATTGTATTCGAAAACCACTGTTTAATAAATCAAACAAATTTGGCAAGTTTGAGCTCAATTTATGCGCAAATGTTTGCAATACAAAGAAAAGTTTCTGGATACGAATCTGTGTTGACTATCAACATTGATCCTGATGTTTGCGAACTGGCAAATAACTTTGTCAATCTTTATTCTGGCTCTGTTATTTTGTATGCGCAGATTTCATCAAATCACAGAAAAGAAGCTGAAAAAATCAAAAAGATTTTCAAGACATACTCATCTATTGTTCCAATATTAAGCTATTTAATCATTGATGTTCCAATTGTTGTTTTGCATTTTATGTCTCTAAAAACAGAAAAAGATATTATCCAAATTATAAACTCTGTAGACAAGAAGGCAAAGAATGAAGCAAAAGATAATTTAAGATCGAATGCAACAGAAGAAAGCGTTGTCTTGCCAGAATTCCATCCAAAATCAGGCCTCAGACTTGTTTTGTTATTTTTATATGCATTTATTGCTGTAGTCTTTCTTTTAATTATCTTAGTCGCATGCATTATCGTAATGAGAATCACAGATAATTTAGTGAAACTTAATGAATGGAACCAACATTCAGCAAGCCGTCAATCACTTGCAGCTGAATCACTTAACTCTCTATTAAACTGCATAATCATGATTGATGTTCCTACATCTTATTTGCCATCTTTATATCCTTCTTTCATTAAGCTTGCTTATTTCATCATGAACAAATTGAAAGAGAGCGACAATAATTTAATATAGGGTGTCCAAAGGTGTGTTTAGCACAAACCTGAATACTGCGAATAGAAATAAACAAGTTACATATATATAAAGTTTATTTAAATATAATCACCATTGGATTCAATCACGCGTTCGCAGCGATCGATCCAGGCTTGAAAGACACGCTTTAAATCATCATGCGAAAATTGCTCAAATTGCTCTCTTACAAAATTTTCAAGATCATCTGGACTCGCGAATTCGCATCCTTCAGCTCTCTTTTTTAGCGTGCCGAATAAATAAAAGTCAGAGGGTGCAATATCAGGTGAATAAATTGGGTTTGGAACAACTTTGACATTGTTTTCCAACAAGTAATTCATTACCTT